TTCATGCTGTTAACCATTAAGCCACTTGTGTATCCATTTTAGAATTTCATAATGATAATACTTACCTGAATCAAAATTTTGGTAACCATATTTTACTAAATTTTGGGGAAATTGATTTAATTTTAGATTGGAGCCATTTGTATGCCTTTGGATGGAATTCATAAACGGTATGATGGAGACTTGACCTATTTGGGACGTGTGGTTGCTGCTTTGCCTGTTGATGTCAAAGTTGGAAAACTACTGGTCCTTGGTCATGTCTTTGGATTTCTCAAGGAATGCTTAATTCTTGGTAAGTATTTTGTGCAAGATAAAAAAAAACAAAAAAACTATTATTAATGGGAATAATCTGAACTCTTTAGTCTATTCAAATATTAAGATCTCTTTGAGATAAATTATGCCTTGATTTTTATATTTTACAGTCCTGATTACTAAAGCCCATATTGTTTTAATTGATATTGAGTCTATTTCAGAATTGTCTAAGCTTTTGCGTGCTGATACCATTTTAGCTGTTTGTCTAAGCATCTTTCTCTATGTCCAGCATATAGTTAAATGTAAAGAGTTCTTGATTGTTTTTCATAAAAATTGTTAGTCATTTATTTATTTATTTTTTTTCAAGTTCAAACTAGAAACTGAAATTAAGACAGTGAATTTGTTTTTACTGTTTTTTCTTCCATTTTCTTTTCAGGTGCTGCCCTCTCTCTCAGAAGTATCATCTCTCGACCTTACAAGAAATATTTGGAATCTTATCAGTAAGTGCTATACTAATTTTTGATTATGATTTTTCATTTGACATGACCTCTATGGATAAATTGTCATCTAAATTATGCAAAAATGAAAATAATACTGACATCTCATTTTAAAAGATATATTTACTAAAATTACACAAAAATATCTTGAAATACTAAAGAGTAAATTTATTCAATAAGATCGTCATTGGCTTCAACTATGGCCGCCAGATGAATCTTCTGCACTATCCACAGATTGACAACCCAAACACTCTGAAATATTCGTATTGGAGCTTCTGGCATGAATGCCAAGCAGTACAGCATGCCATTTCCAAGTCGAGTGAATTGCGTCATGGTGCTCTTTTTCTCACAACTGACCATACTATACTGTGCAGTTGACAAAAGCAAACAATGAGCACATGCAAAATTAAAAATATAAAATGGCAACAATTAACTCTCTGTGTGTGTATGTGTATATATATATATATATATATATATATATATAGTACAGGTAATAAATCCGTTGTTATATAATCCAAGTGGATTCTAGTAATATAAATATTAAAACTGATCCCCAAAAAGAGTTCAATGTATTTATTATTACAGAGCAAAAAGTACTACACAATAAAATCAGAAATCACCTCATATAGGGAATGAGCTTATTTTGACAGATGGTGAAGTCTAACTGTTTCATCGGAAATGTTGAACTGTCTTGCAAGTTCACCACACGTTAGACTACTGTCCTCTTCAATGGCCGCCTTTAGGACTCTGTCATTCAAGACCTGTGGTCGTCCACTGTGAGGCTCATCATGGAGAGACAAATCTCCTGACTTGAATTTTCGAAACCAACTCCTTGCAGTACGTTCATCCACAGCACTATCCCCAAACGCTTGACATATGCGGCAACTTGATGCAGCTGCTGATAAGGCCACTTTGAAGTCGTAAAGCAAACAGCCATGAACGAGATCTCTAGACACTTCCATCCTTTTCACAGCTGTCCACCTTATAACTGATGGCCAGGCACAGTGTGCGTGCTTTTTTATAATGTCTGATGTTCCTACTTCCGGCTGTCTGAATTTGGAAACAATTGCGACATGCATTTCGTATATATTTCAACTTCATTCAATGACTAATCAAAAAACGGACAGAACTTTTTTGGTTACCTTGTAGAATTTGGAATCTTAAATCTAATGTCCTATCCTGCCTGTTTCTGTCACACTTGACCACATTCATTGTGGCTTCTCAGTGCTACTGCCATGGAAGCCTTCCTCTCTATTCTCATTCATTATTAATGCCTTCTAGGTTATTGTGCATAATTATCACATTTCATTATTTAGTTGTAAAACATGATGAAAATTCAATTAATAAAGAATCAAATTTTTCAAAATTTATTTTTGTTAATATTTTTATTTTCTTTTACTATTTTCAGACGAAAATTTGGTTGGGCTGATGGTTCTTTTAGTGACTGTATTGCAATTGTCAATGTTTACAAGGTAAGTTAGTGTTATGCTTTATGGCATGTAAAGTTTCAAGAAACTCATTGAAAATTCAAAATTCATTCTGCCTTTAAAACATTTGTTTATTATGGAATTTTATACTGAAACCTGGGAAATATTGTCAAAATTTTTTTATATTTTCATTCAATTATTTGTTCAAAGTAGAATATTCTTGTGAAGACCATTTCTTTTTGTTTTTCAATCAAGATTGTCATGTCTGAAACCAAAAGTTGCTCTTGGCTTTTTCATCTCATAAAATTATGACTTATATATAGGTTAGCTTGCTGACTGCTGGCTTCAGCTGATAAGTTTCAAAATAGAGGCCAACCCCCCATTCAGTACTTCTCTCTCGGGAGGGGGCTAGGGCAATTACCAATTTATACTTAATTAAAAATTACCTTGAAAATAGTCCACCAATTAAACTGGAAATTACTTTGTTCTCAGTGTTACAGTCTTTTAATTGTATTGTGCTAACAAAATTTTACAGTGATCTGGTATTATTACATTAACAATTAAATAGAAATTGGGTTTTATTAATCTAAATGAAGGATATCTCATGGGGAAAATAGCCTAGAAGTTAAAGCATTGGTTATTTAATGTAGTGGCATAGTAATTTAAATTTCAATACTCTGTAGTACAAACATTCTGAGTTAGTGGAAACAAGATGAGCAATAACTGAATGCAGTATTAAAAGACAATTAATGAAGATATCTCTCAACATGGACAGTGGAATGAGAACAATCTACCCCATAGATTGAAAGAAATGTTCAATTTGAAGTTCCTTGAAGCCTACTGAGATTGCGATAAACCTAAAGAAGACTAGAGTGCACAATAGCCAAAACATTGTGATTACAACAACAAAGTTGAAGACATTAGTCTGACTGTGTGGTGAACTGTTCCATAGAAGCAAGCGAGCCAGAGCGGCTTGCATCTGGTGCATAGGAAAATAAGGGTCTTACTTCGACGTTCAGCACATGTCATCGGCAAGTTTGCTCTTTGGAAATGGCATTTCTCTCCCATCGAGCGATTCCAGAAGTAGGTGCAGTAACAAGGGTTTTTGTACAGTTTGGCATGCTTCGACCAATAGCAAGTTGTGTGCTTGTTGGTTGAACTGGAGGAGGCTATTTACCTGGGTAGCTGAGAATAAAAGCGAAGAACGCTGATTGGTTGGTCGATTGCAGTGTTGGCCTGATAAAAGAGGACTAAAGCAGCGAGAAGTGGGGGACAGATTTTACATTTTGAAGTGTTCGGAAAGAATGGCGGATTGAACTAGTGATATCTTGAATTGTATGAGCGACATCTTAATAATAGAGACTCATTTAAGCAACAGACTGTAATAAAGTTATAAATAACTCCTCATCCCAGAAATTCAGAAAAAAGAACCATATTAAACTTTTAGAATAAACTATCACTTAACTAAAAATGTATTCATTTGCTTAATGTTTTTTGGTTGTTCTACTTCTGTTTTACAGGCATGGGAGAGTAACTGGTCTCGTGGGATTTTCAAACGCAGGGGACAATCTGAGGCTGAGTGGGGAAAGAGTAACTTCATTCAAATCAAGAGAATTCGGGAGGTAATGTTTTTTTTTTTCACTTTTGAGTTGTGTATAAGTAGAATGGTTATAAAGAAATGTAAAGCTATTTTTTTCAGACTTGTTTCATTTTGTTTTGTTTTGTTTTATATATTTTGATTAGCATATGCAAGAATTTTAGATGGAAAATGATTTTTCTATTTAAATCTGTGCATCCATATCTTTTGGAGAGTTTAAATTATGAAAAAAGTTAAGAGATTTAACATGAGAAGTGTATGTATGAAATACAAAGTGCGTTGATATGTCGCCCTCATCCATTTTTGTTAAAAGAATTAAAAATTAGTTACTTGAAATAAACATTACAGGCATTAAAATTAAATTTTTCTTTTTTTTTTCCTCTAGTTTTTCTTTTCTTTTTTTTACCTGCTGTTTTTGATCCCCCCACTTTTTTTGCTGCCATTTTTCATTTATTTTTTTATTTTCTTTCCTCCTTGCCTGTTTTTTCTTGTCTGCTTTTTATTTCTTTTTACCTGCTGCTTTTTTGTTTTTTTTTCTTTTCCTGGTCATTTTTCTTATTTTTTGTGGACATTTTTTTTTTATAGTGGGGGATTTTTTCTTTTTCGCCCCAGGTTTTCTGGTCTTTTTTTTTTTTATACAGTCTCTATGTGCTTTTTTTCTCATACTCCATTTTTTTTATCTTTTTTTTTTCCTCTCCAGTCTCTTTGATCTTTCCCTTCAGTCTTTTTTTTTTATTTTCTGCCATGTTTTGGGTCTTTATCTTCGGTTCATTTTGTTTTTTTTGATTTTTGGTTCCTTCAGTTTTACTGTTCTTTTATTAGCTTCTTTTTTTTTTCTTTAAATTATCTGAAGATCTGGATATAAAATGAAATATTTCATAATATTTGTTACAATTATGAAATTGCTCTGATATAATCTTACCTTTGTAATTCTGAATTAAGTCTTTGTTAACATTCCACAAATTATTCAATTGTTGCACTTTTTATCATTACATTTTAACCAATATTTTATTATATTACTGATGATGGTCTTTTGGTATAGAGTACATGCAACCAGATTTTATTCTGATTATTGTTTGCAGGAATATTTGATGTCTAAATCTAAAACCATCTGTGATATAAAATTCAAATGTGCTTTAGAAATGGCTAAATAACATGTGGAATAATCAATTTCCTTGGAATATGATTTTTCTAATTGCAGGATGAAAGTAATAGTCTGAATGTAATTCCCTTTGTTATTTTATTTTTTTTTAATAATAATAATAATGTAGTTTGTTGTGGAGGAGGAGGATACTTCATAATTTTGAAGTGATTTGTCTTTATTAAATATAACAAAACCACTGCATTTTGAAATAATAAACTACATAGTCCTGATTCCAATGCATTTGCCTGCAGTACTTCTAATTTCATCTCTTTCCTTTTTCTTTTAGGTAGCTGATTTAATTCGAGAATTGGAATGTCGTCTGGCAAAATTCAACATCCGCATACCAAAGGAAAGCCCATCTTCTAAGAAGGAACTTAATGATCCAGAAGAAAAATTATTGTTTAAGGTTTGAATTTATTTTTAATAAGTTTATTGCCATATGAAGCAAGTGTGTGTCTTGCAGCATGTTGTGTAGTGTCTGTGGTGCACATGTGCATCAATTCCATGGTTTTATTTACACCAATATAAACAGCTATGGCAAAAAATCTGTCATGTTATTTTCCTATTATGACTTGTAGAGCATTTTTCTTTCTCTAAAAACTATCACGATGACCAAATGTATCATGTGCTACTGTAATGTTACTAATGTAATGACTAATAGCACAGGACTACATCTCTCGTACAATTCATCTCTGGACTTCTTCAATTAATGTTGGCTTTGGGTGTTTTCTTTGAACGTAGATCTTCTTGAATCTTCTGTTTTTCCCATCTTGGGCCAGGGTGCTTATACCTTCTGTCATATGGTTGTCCCATGTTTGCATGTCCTAAGTGCTGTTGGGATTGACTACTTGTTTATATATCTGGGCAAGCACTGACATCCTGTGAGGTTGAACATGTACCTGGTGGCTTTGAGATCAACTTCCAGATCAACCTTCTGATGCACCTGGTTCCTCTGATGTGACACTGAGTGCAAAATCTATTTTTGTATCTTTTAGGCTGAGCTCAGTATATATTGAGACCACCACTGATCAACTTCTCTTCGAACAAAAAATCCTTATCTATAATTCTCAAAAAGTGTGTGTGTATGTATGGATTAGATGTTGTTTATGCGTTTCCACAGTTTTCATCCGATTTCCATGAAATTTTTTTGTTTGATAGATAATTCTTTAGTGCCGGTTTTGAGTCCAAATTGTTGGTGACAATGGGTCTCCACTACTTCCTGTTCATTATAACTCTCAGCAACATTTTACTATTTACTATCTATTGGATATCTATCATAAAAACTTTTATAAAAATAAATACTTTAAATTATTATAATATTATTTATTATTATACAGTTTCCTTTTCAGATCCCCCCTCCCATTCAAATTGTTACCCCTACCCCTTATTTGGGGATGTGCTTCAATTGCGCCCAAATGTTGTTACTAATATTGATTTTCGGGTGGGCTGACTTTAAACTTAAACTGCTCCAAATGAACGGTAAAAATTCCCAGTAATGAAAAAACCCAGACAAAGACAGGTTATACTGCTAGTTGTTTAATAAGTCTAAGAAAATAATGCATAAGTAATAGTATGCAGGAGTTTGTAATAACTAAATAAAATGCTGAAATCATTAGGTCAGGGATCAATGATCCAAAGCAGTAGTGAATGTACTGAACATTTTCTTTCATTTTCATTAAAAGACTTTTCTAATTTGTCTCTGATTTTTGGAATTGATTTGTTACTACAGTTTCTTTTCTCAAATGTGTTTGCTGTTGTGTTTTTAGATGTTTAAAATTATTTTTTTGTTTTTCTTTTTTGCATAAAACCAAAAATACTGCTTGGGCATGAATAAGCATTGAATTTCTTCTTTGTTATTTAAATATTACTTACAAGAATATATTTTATTTTTTAATACATCAACATTTGTGTTGGCATATTTTAAAATGGTTTTTTCCAATGCTTCTCATTACCAGTTATATCTTGTATAAGTGTTTCATTGGCAGTCAGTGTTCCATGAATCATTGGCACTCTGTTCTGTATTGATAAAAACAAGACATTTTACTTCTATTATATTTAATGGTCTTCTTTTTATTTTTTTTCCTAACATGTGAATACAAATGTGGTTGCTGTTAGTGGATAAATCTTCCAAAATTCATGTGTTATCCCAACCTTTTAACTGGGAGCATATGTATAACTCTACGAATTGATCCTTGTCACTGGCAACAAATAATGTAGCCTTAAGCTCTGTGTTTGTCTTTAAGTTCCTTCAGACCACTGTGGTTACCATCTAGTTGACTCCTCACTTGTTAACACATGGCTTGCTTGTTGCTGGTATCGTGATGATTTGCATAGTTCCACTTGACTTAGCTGGCATTTGTCTGTTCATGACCATTCACTCCTCTGCCATGTTGTGTTTCTTTTTTTATCAGAGAGTGACGGAAACCGAAGACAGGTCGATGGCTGGGAGCTACACAAAAAAGAATCTTTTGGAATAAAGAATTAACTTGGGTTAAAAATGTAACAACAATTTGTTTTTCTATATGATTTGTTGTATACATCGGTTTTAACTGGGATCCCCTTTGGAGTTTGCAGCTTGTGTTAGTAGTACCTTAAATTTCTAAGTTCTGGTCTTCAGAGCTGGCACAAGGTCTTGTTTAGGAGGTCTCGGTGCATGATGTGATTTCCAGGCACAGTAATATAACTTATATGGAGTCTAGTTATCTTCCACTCTTAGCATAAAACTTTTTCTAAAATTCCATATTCTCAAAATATTTTTACTCTAGTGATTTTCCAGATTTGGGAGAGTGGTCACAGGAATGCAACTGCCCCTTAACCCCAACTCTCTTCACATCTCATCTTGCACCATTGCTCCATTTAGGTGATGCTAATCTCTCTCTTCCTTCTCTCACTTTCTTGGTATCTAACCTCAGCTCACTCCAAGAGCTGGCAGACCATCTCTGATGAATCCAAATTTTCAGAATATGTAGGTGAAAAGGGATTTTCTAGTATGTTTTGATTTATACTATTTATTTTACAAAAAGGCTACATTAGTGTAGTTTTCAATTTATGCCACTTTTTCATGAAAGGCCAGCAATAGTACACCCCAGCAATGGGTTAAATAGTGGTACAGATGGGGCTTTTCAGCCTTGTGTAGCAACCAGTCTGGAATAAAAACTGAATTAAAACTGTCTCTAGCCCTGGTGAAGCATGTACTATGCAGCTAATGAAAGGATTGTGGAGTTTACGGTGACTTTAGGGTCTTGATTCCAGTCGACCTTGATTGATTACATTAATACAGGTTTTGATTTATACAACTTTTTTCAAATTATGCCATTTTTCTTTATGAAAGGCCTGCATTATTACAAATTGTGTCTTAATATAGCTTTCAATTTATGATACTTTTTATAATTTTTGTTTTATGGAGGTTTTGTATTAGTAGACATTTTGATTGGTGCCACTTCTTTTAGTATATACTTGATATACACCACTTATTTTTAGTACAGGATTTTGTTTATGCCACTTCTTTCCATGAAAGGCTAGCATTAATATAGGTATCGGTTCATGCCATTTTTTTTTTTAAGGAATGACCTGGGTTATTACAAGTTTTAATCTGTCATTGTTTTTACCAAAGGTTTGCATGAGTATATTTTTCAATTTATACTACTTCTGTTTATTAAAGGCCAAGTTTATTAGTACAGATTTCAATTCATGTTATTTTTTTTTCATAAAAGGCCTGTATGAATACAGGTTTCTATTTATGCCATTCCTTTTATGAAATGTTTGCATTAATACAGTTTTTGATTTTTGTAACCCACTATCTTAACCTTTATCACTCTGTCTGTGACTTCATTTGTTGTGCAAAAAGTTTATCCTGCCACTGAAGGCGACTCTGATCCCTGAACAATTGAGAGGCCTTGAAAAAAAAAAAACTATCAAAATAACCTTTACCTGCCTGGCCTGATGCTTGATTGTTCAACTTCCTGCATATTTTTTTTTTCTATCAGATATTTCTTTGTAGGTACTGAAAACAGCTAACAAACCTATTCTAAATCTATGTAACCTTTCAAAATTAAACTTATTCTTTCTGCAATCAGTGCAGCAGTCATATATTGTAAAAGTTACTTTTTGGGTTTGGGAAAACTTAAAAATTTTTCCTATGAAAATGGTATTGTTTCACTTTATGCAGTTAAAGCTTAGAAAAAAATTAATAGAAATACTCTTCGTTTGCAGAGAGAGGGTCAACTTTTATTTGTAAAATTAGTGTAAGTTTTATATGTTATTCTGAATACCATGTATACTGATGAGTAAATATTTTCTTGATTGTTTAATGTTCAGGTCAATGATAAAAATCCAAATTGATATTTAAAACTTGTATAAACCTGTGTATAATTTGTTTTTATCAAACATTTTTAAAGATTTAATGGGTTATGAATATCATTGTTAATGATGTTTTCTTTTTAGGCTTGCAAAATTATGAAAGTAGTAAAAAAAAAACAACAGTTTGTGATATGTAAATATTACTATTAAAAAAAATTATGATTCCAGCTCACGATTTGTGGTGCATTCTACCCAAATTACTTTGTGAAGGATTCTGTTGATGAAAGTGAAGCAATGAAGATTCTGTCTGGTAAAGATCCTTACAATACAGTTATGGTGAGATATTATTTATCAGCTATTGTTATTTTGTCATGTTGGCTGCATATTTATAATGAATCTATCATATCTGAACAGATGTTTTACAGCCATCTATTTGAAAATATACAATGTACTCAATACACTTGAACAGTTTAATCTTATGAAATTTTAGCATACAGCAGCTCTCACAATAATCCCAACTCTAAAACAACTTTATATGCAATGGTAATTATAGCTTGTCATAAATCATTAACATATCATTTATCACTTTTTGATGATTACATTAAATATATTTTTTGTGTTGAGTTTATCTGAAAGTTAACATGAATATACCTTTTGTTTACTCTTCTTCTTCCTCTATGTGCTGTGTCCCTTCAGGATATAGCTGATCGTGACTCTCCACAATTTCCTGTCCTTTGTAGCTCTTAATACATTTTGTCTTTTTGTTATCTCTCTTAAACTTTGTTCTGCCATCCATTTACTCAAGCGCTCTAGGTAGGTTATGCATTGTTTACCACTGACCTTCTTACCATGAATCTGTCCTGTGAGTATCAAATTTTCCAAGCCTTGAGAAAAGCCTCATTATGTATCTAAGAAATGACAACTGTCTCTTCTGGACGTTAAGTGTAAGTCCTTTTTGTTTAATAGAAGTATTTGAGAGCAGAAAATAATTCTAAAATATAGAAAATTAATTTATCAGTTGTGTGCAAAAGTTCCCAGCAAATTTCTTTTTTTTTTCTTTATGGAAACTTTTACACAAAACTAATATTTTGTATAATTCCAGCTTAGCTACTTGCTTTAACTTTGGCACAAATGCCTTTGGACTTTTCTTCTCCTGTGGGTTAAATAGCAGAGTAGACTGAGCTTTCTATCCTTGGATAATTTCTTTCTCTAAATCTTAATTCAGGTTTTTGTTCATTTTCTATGATAACAAAATCTAACAAAACAGTGAATCATCTCAGTTTTTATTTAATTCATCTATTTATTAAATGGCTTTTAACCTATCAACCATCATTAATTTTTGAATAGTATTTCTCTTGACTTGAATTTAGTTGATTTTTATCACAACTTGCTTCTGCCTACAAAAACAAACAAAAACACCAAGGAATAACATTCAAAACCCTTAAAAATGAAAGGGTAAATTTAGCATTCAATAATAAACTATAGTTCAAATTGATGTCAATAAATATATATCAAAATATAGAGGAATCAAATAATGTTATCATATCTTCATTAACTGAAGCACATGAAACCACCCCAAGAATACCTAGAAGGAAAAAGATACACCTATGTGATGACAATTCTGAGTTAAAAAAAAATGATACAAGAAAGAAACAATGGAAGGAAAAATACCAAACAACAAAGTAAGAAAAAAAAATAGTTAATTCTTTAAGAAAACATTATCTTTGGAATATTGGAAATGAAATTAATGAAGTCAGGCAGCATAGACAAAGTGTTAAAATGAGGAGAAAAGTGAAAAATCACAACAATATCCTACAATTAAAACCTCCACAGAAGAAATGTCCTGGTCTCCAAAAAACACTAAGAAGCCCATTTCAACCCTGGCCATAGTAAACATAGGATGCCTGCAAAAATAGAACATATATAAATATATATCCAGTCATTACAAAGTCTGTCTCCAAACATAAGCAATAATAAACTTACTGATGAGGATATTAAGAAAGCTATTAAAAAACATGAAGAAGTAATAAAGTATCATTTGACATTGAGGCTGAATTCAACAAGTTTCTCTATTTTATGAAAGAAGTCTGAAACCAAAAATGCATCACCAAAAAGTGATATCATGCATGAATGCATTATGGAAACAGAAAGGTAGCCCTCAAAACTGTCACACATACAGAGGTATCTTAATTGGATCTACCATGGTGAAAGTATTAATGAAAATTATACAGGTTGTGGCAGAAAGACCTCCCACATAATGGTAAGACATTAGTGACAATGGTGTCTTCATCTAACTAATGTCTTATGATTATGTGGGTATTATTTCTGGGAGGTATATATGGGAGGTATTTCTGGTGCACCCTATATTAACTAGGCTCTTGTAGTTTTATGAAAGTCAACTCCTCACAAAGTAGTTTGGTTTTTGTTCTGATAAGGGATGCAATGATAGCATATATGTCATCAAACAACTGCAAGAAATTGCTTACTTTTCTAAGAGGAAACTGTATACCCGCTTTGTTGACATTACAGCAGCATGTGACCACATCAGTAGTGACTTCCACTTCTCATCCATTAGAAACTACCTTCCAATCTCTGAATCCACTGAATGCATTGATCTAATAGAGGAACTGTGTCAATCTACAAGATCTTATATGACTGGCAAAGACCCCAATATGGAAATATTTCAAACCCCCATCAGGAGTATGACAAGGAGGAAATTTAGTCCATTCTACTTAAACTTTTTCTAGACTATGCCCTGCACATTTACAAACACAGATATGAAGAGATGGACCATTTAAGCATGTTTAACATTCAAACAGACTATGTTGATTAGTAAACAGAATAGGTTGGAAATAAAGAATAGTCTGTTGGTAACATTCCATTGGAAGTCTTCAAAAAACCTGTGGCTAGCAAAAGTTGAAATCTAGCTATATATAAGTAGGATGCTAAACTTTGACTAAATTACTTTTTTTTTCTTGGTAATTCAATATTTTATTTATTTTTACATACACTTGTTATATTAGTGGTAGTAACATGACTTTTCTTTTCTCTTGTCAACCATTATTTCTTATCCATGCAGCTTACTCATAGCCATAGATTGGTAGTCTAAATAGTTGCAATGAAAAGCAACTAAGGTTAAAGAAATACTAGTCAAAAAATTAATAGTTGACAATGCCTCATCTAATAAAATATTAATCAAGATAATGTAGCTGCTTTAATTAGTCTCTAATATAGGTTTGATCTTTTGGTTTAAATAGTCTGACAATTTCCTTTTTAAAATTTTGATGCATGATTTTCTTTACTCACAGGTGAGTGGTATCCCTGCTAACCAAGGCTCACTCTACAAACCTCAGATTGAACAAATGTTTAGTATCTGTGGTAATGTTCTTGCTTTACACATGGAAGAAACCAAGTTAGTAATTTTTATGTTCTATGACTTTATAAATGGTTTTATTTATTTGGTCATTTGAATTGTAATAATGTGTAAAAGATATTTTAATTACAATACTGCTAGAACATTCTTTGTCCAGTAAACCAGCAATCTTTCAAGTTGATACCACTCTACTCAAAGATCCTATGTTTTTATAGTAGTCAGATACACTAAACAGAAAAGTAAATTCTAAATTATAGCTTCTCAAATGGACTTATAGCACATGAATAAGTTACATAAGACAATTTTTATCTCCTTTCGGCTTTATTCAAACTTTTTATGAGAAGTGACTCATGCACTTCCACGCATAAATTGACTTTGTTTTGAGCATACCAGATCCTGAGTTTGATAGAATAACCAATAACTGGGTGGTACTTAGAGGTAAGTATATGGTTCTGGGATTGGGTAAGTACCCTACTTCCTGATGTACTTCAAAGTATAAAGATTGCCAAATAACATCAGCATGGTACTTTAAATTTTGTATTGAAGTCTAATTGAGTCTGCAATGCAGAACCAGCCTGCTCACAAGAGAAGTCAAAGCATTGTAATAATATCAGTAATGTAATGAAGGAACTCCATTTTCAAAATGTCTTTTTCTGTTAAAAAAAAAACAAAAAAACAGACCAGACTCATTTCTTATAGACCTGTTGCATGATGATTAAATCTAAATTGTTTGTCCATTTAACATTTATCACTCTGTATGTGACTTCATTTGCTGTACAAAAAGTTCATCCTGTCACTGAAGGTGACTCTGATCATTGAATTTGAATTTGACCTTCATAGTTATGTTTCCATATCCTGCTATGGCAACAGAAAACAACTTTGAGTGAAATTAACAATACAGATACAGCAATTGAAAAGACTTGAAAAAGAATGCAGTGGAAAGGGTAATATTAATAATGCAGAGTGCTAAATGTTAAAATATATTATTATTGAAGTACCATGCTACCTAATGAAAATATGTTCTAAAATAAGGACCACCATGGAGCCATACACTTAATAACTTAGTACTTAATCCTCCTCTGAATTGATTTTAATTTCCATCTATCAAACTGAATTTTCACAAAATAGTTTTATGATAATTCAGATCCAAATTCACTTTGAAACAGAAATTTTGTGAAAACACATTTTTGTAACAAGTTGTACAGTCTTAAAGATTCTCTTATATCATTGAAGTTGTTTTGTTTAATATTTGAAGCTAAGGCTTACATATCAATTGTTCATATTGATGCTTCATTTAACTTTATGGTTTTTATTTTCAGATAAGGGACAGTTTATTAAGGCAGTTTCATAGTAATACATAGAAATATGGAAAAAATGATAGTGATAATGATATTTTAAAATTAAGTATGAAGGTCACATTATTCAATCTGATGTCTTTGCCTTTCCTAAGTTCCAAACTTGTATATTAAATAAATCACATTACTTTTTGCTGCATTGCACCAACAGTTACATTTTTGTCAGCTTCAAAAATATGTTGTCATTAGTTTTAGTTATAAAAGTAATATAAATCATTCCAAGCCAAAATAGGTTTTCTTTTAGTTTCATTATCATTTAAGTATCATTTTTGGATTCCTTGGGTAAAAAAAAATATAGGGATGCGAATTTTCAAGCCACTTGGATCAAAATTCATTGAATTCTTATAATTTAATATGTAATCCTATTATGAGAGAAAAAATGGCATGGTTAATCCCATTTTACAAAATATCATTCAATTGAAGAAAATGGTAAAATCTTCAGATGCATCAAAAATGGTGTTTCTGTGAATATCTAGAGCTAAAATTCTTCACTTGTTCTTAGTTTTGTGTTAGCTTATCATGGTTAAAAAGTAGGGATAATCTGAGATGAATGATGGTGGAATTTGAATGATTTGACATGGAATGTCTCAGTTGTTTACTGTTTTTTACTTAGTGTAAAGAAGGAAATTGTCGAAAAGGACTCGGTTCATCCATATGTTTAAATGTTGATGTGCCATAAAAACCAAATTATTTATATAAATGTAACAGTATTGCTTATTATATATATATATATATATATATATATATATATTTCTTTAATCAATTCACACCTAATGCAAGGTGATAATGCCACTAAGATGCAAGGGGATACTGGGATTGAAAGAGAATGAGAATACTTTAGAAGGAAGTGGAAACCCAATCACTTAATTCAACTGGGGTGATCATTGTCACCATGAGAAAATACAATAAATTACCTTGTTTTTTTTTATTCAGAATTTTTATTGAATTTGCCCGTCAACACAACTTGAATCGAGATCACTATGACCAACCTATTGGGATGGGTGAAACTGGGAAAGTGAACTCAGCTGTCTACCTGGCTCTAAAAATGCGGTAAGTTCTCGGGGCTACCTTTTTTGTGTAACTTTCTTTGATTGACTTATACCAGGCTGTCACCTTCACCAAAGTTGAAAGTAATTTTAAATATTACTTAGAATAAACAAATTTAAATCCTTTTAAAAAAAGCTTTACATAATCTGTGATTTCATTGATAGGATATATATTTTAAAGTTTACATTCTTTCAAATTATCAGTAATAGATAGTGGCTCCATAAATATATATTTTTTAATGTTTACTTAATACAAGACCCAAGAGCCACTCATGGTAAAGGGTTACTAAATGATGTTTTATGGATGTAAGAGGAACAAGTAAATATAGATTATGAGCATGTGTAGGATATGGTTAGGTATATTGGAAAGTTGAAGAATTAAGGTAGCAAAACATCACCCCCACCATATACACCAAGTAGTATATATGAGAACTAACTGAATTAGTTGTCAAAGAACATAACAATCCTGATAGCCTCCTTTGGAGTTAGATTGGATAATACCAACTAAGAAAACGTTTACCTTTAGCACCCTTAGTGAAGAGACAAACCGTCCAGGAAAAAAAAAATGCAGGCATACTCTTCATCTAACCAGATAAAGCAGCCAAACTTTTCAAGTCAGAATTATCATGACTATGCTTTTCCAGGTACAAGGACAGACTCACTTGCAAGTGAGGATGAAATGTCCCACTGGAAGATTACAAAGGCTTCTCAGAGATGAGCTGATGTCACCTATCCACACATCTGGTGGTGGTAGGGCAAAACAATCTATCCGTATTTTAGTGCCGACTGCATTTGAACCTATAGCCAAAGTTTTATCTTTATTTTCTGTATTAATAAAGTAAATATTACTAGCGGCAATAATTAATCATGGAATCTTGCTATTTTTAACATAAAATTTGTTTTTGTAAGTTTCACTACTGTATGTTAGGCATTGAAAATAAGGAATAAAGGGATTGTCAGTGATCAGGAATTAAGGTAAGCATTAATGACAGTATTGTGCTATCATGTGTATATTTATATTTTTAAGAACACAATTCTTACATTCTTAAAGATCTATTGGATTCTCACATTACTAAAGATCTATTGGATATTCTTGCTACAATATAGTGCACATCTGAATTATGTGGCATATTGCCTCTGACATAAGTGCATCTATTCCATGATGCATTTGTTAAAAATTAAAAAAAAATAATAAAATATGACCATAATATACAAATGTGGCATTCTTTATATTTTAATAAATATTATTAAAAATACAATTTAGAAAAAGACTTTGAACATTACAAGAATTTAATCCTTTTTAGGTCATTAGAGCTTCCAAAAATTGCTCAATAATTAACTAGCACTATGATATTCAATAAATCAATAGTTCAATTGACTTAATTCGCCAACTCCTGAGTTTTACACCAAGATGCTCTTTAGGGCCAGATGTTCAATACATTGATTTATTAAGTGTTTGGGCCCAAAGTACATTTTGATGCAAAATTCTAGTGTCACTCAATAAAGTAACTCAATATAACTTTTGTCAAATTGTTTAATAAGTATATCTTTGTATCCTAATGTATATGAAACATCAAGTGATCAGATGTATTTGTTGTTCATACTATATCAATAGTTGGTAATAAGATTTGATAACATGAAGTGAATGTGTCTCATGTCGCTTGTTGTTCTGGTCACAAGTTTGCCAATATTCTGAACAGAAGACTCATTGCCACATGTTGCATTTATATATTTCCCCACAGAAATGCAATACCTAAAGATAAAAATGAATTTTTAAAAATGAAAAATCTTTTTTGAAGCTTTTATTTTAGTTTTAATTTCAACCTAGTAGATTAAATTTAATATTTTCAATAAGCAAAATACTTTGCTGAATTTTAAAACTAATTGAAATTGACTGGAAGGAGTTTTTCTTTTGAAATCACTAAAATTGCTGATTTTAGTGCCATTTTTAGTCATGTCATCACAATGTAATTTTCTTTATTAAGCTATCTTTAAAAAATACAATATACTTTTCTGAAACTTTATTTGAGTGATATTAACTGAATTAAAGATTAATTAATCTGAGTAGAAACAAATATTACTTTTAGTTTAAATATTGCAGAAATTCATTTTTTTAACACAGAAGTGTTTTTTAAGGTGTTGAAACCTTGACTGACAGATGTAAATTTAATTTTGTTCTACAGAGGAATATAATTTATTAGATATATAATATAAGAGTCACAGTAGTCTGAACTTTGAATCACTTGTTCAAAATTATGGTGATGATAGAACAACAACAATTGTATATGTTGGTTTGCTTGTTCTCTCACTTTTCAAAGCTTGAGGTGAGAATATGGTAATATGTTCTTGCTCTTGCAATCTGCACTTTGCAGATTTTTCTTACATCTTCCACTTCCTTTCTCTGACAACCTTGGTAGTCTTCTAAAGTAAGCTCAGCCAGTGTGTATGTATGTATGTATGTATGTAATTCAGCCTGCCAGCTTGTTACCAATGATGTTTTGGTTTCAATCTGGCCAAAAGTTGCATTCTCTCAAGATCTCTTGTGTTCTGGAAAGCATATGGCCAGCTTGACTGAATTCTGATAGCCTACTTAACCAAAACTTTCTTCCAGTAAGACCACTGGTTAATATATCTTTGCATAAACAATATGGTGATTTGGTGAGCTTTATCAGAAAGCTTTTTTAATCTGCTCAAGAAGCAGATCAATCTGATGGGTAAACCTTTCTGAAAACAACTTAATCTGAAGAATTTTTAGGGATAATTTTAGCTTTTGGCCAAGGAAGTAATTTATTACTTGTAATCGTTTTTTTCCCTACTTGGTAATTGTAGCAGGTGAGTACAAGTTCATACCTAGTTGTATTAGGTTATCTCCAAGTTAACATTCATTGCTTTTATCCTTTAAAGAATCTTACAACCTATTTACATTTCTGCATTTGATTCCATTCATAAAACACATTCAAGACTTGTGTCTTTCCTGTTCTATACCATAAAATATGTAATGTAATTGTTAACCCCTTTCAAGCATTGTTATGGGTCATCACTCATTGTATCAAAACAAGAAATGGCCAGTGTAAAAAAATATAAGTGTCTGTTTGTGGCTGATAAAGAAAAAATAATCAATCAATTTCATACTTTGTTTTGACCCATATACATGCATATGAGACTGTGATTGTCAGTTATTATTTCTCATTTTCATAAATATTAATTTTAGTTTTTTGTGCTTTGTCAAACAGAAGAACATATTATGGAAGGATGTATTTCTGGATGCACTATGTATCATGAGTGTGTGGGTGATCATGACTCTCCACAGCTTTCTCTCTTTTGCTGCTCTCAGCAATACTTCTTAGTGTACATGTACATGTTCCTCCATCCATTTACACAAACTTGTCAAGTATATTTCTTGCTGTTTTTTTTTTGTATCTCTTGTTTTTGATGTCTTATGAGTGTTAAATTCTCCAAGCATTCTTTTGTCCTCCAAATTTCAGTTTCTTTATTATTATTATGAACAGGTTTTTGTAGTTTCTATTCTTTTAAGAACTTCCTCATTCCTCACATGTTCTGTCCAATTCATTCTCAACATTTTTTTGGTAGAATCCCATCCATCACTTGAAGTCTTTTTTTTTTCCCTTGTGACAAAATTGCCCAGCTTTCACTCCCATATAGCAATGCAGTATTCTTTTCTTAATGTTTTTAATAAGAATAGCTTTTTTCCAAATTTGTTTTTTAGGCAATCATGTCGTCAACAACTGGAACTGCATCAGTACACAAGGAAGGAGACAAACAGACTGATGAAGATGGTGCAGAAAGCGCAGAGTGATAGCACAGAACAATTGCAAAAACTGCGCACAAACAGGTTAGTGGATTTATTGTCATGTAGCTAAAAATAAAGCTTCTGTATGTGTAGTTAGGGCAGGTTGTTTTTTCACCTTTTTTAGACCAACAACATTGCACTCAATGGAAAAGCTGGAGTTTGATGTGATAGGCACTGACACCAAAAATTAGATTCATACTTCTTGCCAATTTTTGAGCATTTAGTTTTAAAGATTGTTTGAAAAAATCTACAGAAATACCTAATTTCAGCAGGTTTTTGCTTACAAACTGGCTTAAAAATTTAAGAAGTTCTCTTAAGCTTTCAGAAGAATGCTTAACATTTATGCTTTACAATATTTTTTCAAGGTTGAAATTTAATAGATGGTGATTTCAATGCCAGAGTGCAACCTCTGAATGATTTTACTAAATTTTCAATGTCTTAGTCCATTTTCGACCAATATGTATAACACCTCATTAAGGATTTCATCCTTGGAATTCCTGGATGTCCTATGTGAAACTCTTTTAGCATACGTTTTTGCAATGATGCTGGTATTACAATTCTTTCTGCATACATAACTACATTGTCTTATATTGAAAATGAATTGCTTCCACTAATATTTTTATTTTTTTCTTTAAATCTCAGTTGTTTCTTCATTTTCATTATAAAGTCATGTTTTTCCGCTTTAACGCCTATTTCCTCTAATGTTACGGGCAGTTTTATTTGCTCTATTATATAATACATTCTTAATTTCATTTTCATCCATTATCACTGCAATTACTGTGTCCTCTAGTAGTTTGCAGAATTTTGGTATTAATCTACAGTCTGTTTGCATGTCTCAATTTTTTGGATGGTAGAAAGATATAGTACCCCAGTGCTGCAATCTATTTACTGTATGCATGCGAACACTTTGATTTGATCCATAAATAGACAACAATAAACAATGATCTGTCTGTAGTGTGAATTGTCTAACATGAATATACTTGTGAAACTTTTTTTTAATTAATATGATAGTGATTACTTCCTTTTCAATCTGGCTATAGTTGGGGACAGAACAACTAAACCAATATCTCATACTACACGATCATTAATAGCAGCAGAAAACAGCTGCTATTAACGATCTTGAAGTATAAGATATTGGTTTAGTTATTCTGTTCACATATTTGTAGTATCACCACTCCAATACTGCATCTGCTGCAACCACAATCTTTAATTTATGGTCAAAATAAGCTAGTACCAAATCCGATATTAGGATTTTTTTGATCTCTTCAAAAACACTTTGACATTTATCTAACCAATCCCATTTAATGTATTTCTTTAGCAAGTTATTCAATAATTGTATTTGCTGTTTATTTATGCATGTTTGGTATCTACACATGATAGTAATTAGCTAACTCTAAAAATGCTTGTAACTTTGATATGTTTGTTGAGGCAGGCATGTCCTTAGTGCACTTGCCCTTGGACGATCTGGTCATCATCTATTTGTGTTCATAATTTGTCATAGGTATTTCACTCTATTCATAAATAGTTCAAACTTTATTAACTGATGTTAAATTCTTTAATTCTTTCAAAAACTTTTTTCACATTTTTCATATTCTAATTGTTAAAAATTTAGGACACACTTCGTCTACTTGTACTTGTAGGTAAGCATCCGAAAGGTCCAATTTAGAAAAACATTTACCACCATTTAATTTGGCAAAATTTCCTCCCGACTTGGTAATGGTTAGTTATATTCTTTCAAACTTTCATTTCATCTCACTGAAAAATCAACACATACATGGATTTTATTTTTTTTTCTTCACATAAACTGTTGATGCCACCCATTCAGAATAGTCTACTTTTGATATAATTCCTAATTTTTCCAGTCTTTCTAATTCTTTATTAATAGGTTTTAATGTAATGAAAAGTACACTTCTTTTTGGTTTGAAAACCGGTGTTACATTTTTTTTTTTTTTTTACTTCAAATTTAGCTTTTGTTTTAGTGCATCTACCTAGACCTGAGAAATTTTTTTGGCTGCTGTATTAATACCAGAGGTAGCAACATTTATTTTGTTGCAGAATGAATTAATTGGAAGGCCCCACAGATCAAATAATGCAATCCAATCTGTTCCAAATAAATTAGCTGTATTCTTTATCACAAACTGCTTTTTACTTTTTCAAGCAAAAAAAAAAAGAAATGTCGCAGGTGAACTGACACATAAAGATTGATTTTTTTCCCTGTAACTGAGTAATTTTTTTTTTTCTTGGTAAACTGGGTTACCCATTGTTCTCCATGTCTGTTCATTGATAATGGTGATATCAAACCCTGTATCTAGTTGCAGTAGTTTTATCTTTACATTATTAATTTTAACAAAGACAAATTTCCTCTTTTGAGATATTTCTAGCTCAGTTAAAGACATGTTTGATAAATTTTTCTTTGTAGTTTTTCCTTTAAGTTTTTCTTACTTTACATAAAGTATTTACCATGTTCACATACGTTCTATTTTTTTCACATTTTTTTTGTATTTACAATGAGTAAATTTGTGTCCAATCTGCCCACATTCATAGCATTTTTTTGTTCCTGAAAAAACAATCACTTTTAAAATGTTTATCACCACAATCATGGTAAGCATTGGGTATTGACAAAGGTGTATAATCTTTTTTAAATGTTCTCTTAGGTGTTGTAGAAGGTCCATAGTTCTTTTTCTTAAATGGTTGGATGTTACGTACATGTGAAATGTCTCGTTCCTCAATCCTTGCAGTATCGAGTTTCAGATTAACTATGCGCTGACACTCTTTAGCTATTTTCTGGAGGGTTAATTTTGAGTCTATTTCTAATTTAGACAGATTAATTTAGATTCTTAGCTCTTATTTCCGCATCCCTAATAGCAGTTAACCCCTGTACAAATATTGGACTTTTGAATAAATGTTTTTTTTTAGTAAAATAAAATTCACATACTTTTCATGTTCCACAGAAAACAGTTTTCTTAATAATAAGTGACCTTTTTTTCCATCATCCCCATGCAAACAATCCTTTTTGAAGCTTTCTTTGTATCTTCTATAATATGCTGGAAATGTTATTCCTTCATCTGGATTGTATATAAATTCACTAATTGAATTGTCGACAGCGACTGGAGTTGTAATAGACGTGACAGTGACTTACCAGGAGCAAAACGAATTCGCTGCCTTGTGTGTTGAACCATTCTCTGCGAGTCGATCGCATGTGCGTACGCCTGCTGCCATTTTTATGCAGCAGGCTTATTTGCATAAGAGAACAACGCTACCTGTTAAAAACCAGGCGAGTGGACGTGGGGGACCACTGCTCTTCTAGGCTTTGGTGAGACTAGACATATTGCTGAAAGAAAGCGAGATCAATTTCTGGACACCTGACAGGAGTGAATAAATCTGATGTTTTTTTGAGTTATGTTCTATGTAATAATAATTCCAGAACTTTCTGTTGTTGTTGTTGCAATTGTTGTTCCAACATTTGGACCATGACAGACTTTAATTCTTCCATTTTTCTGTATTCCACTGAATTGATTTTTTGAATATCCTCGCCAGGTTATTTATTTGTACTTCTGCAAAATTCATGGTTCCATGAGTCGTCAATTTCTGAAGTGGTAAATATTCACTGAATATCCTGTTAAGATGTTTTTTTTTTCTTTTTGCCTGTTTCCTCATCGCCTCTTTTGTGATGTATTGCAGCTGTTAATAATTAAGTATAACTCAAGACTTCAATATTAAAATAAAGAGTATTTAAAGATTAATTACTTTTTTTTATTAATAATAATTTGAAAAAAGGCTAAGGAACTTTTATCACAGTTTGATTTGTTTGAAAACAACATTAACAGACTATTTATGTTAATATTTAAATAAAAAATAGTGTCTTTTTTTAATAAAAATATGGGGAGGCACAGCCCCCTAAACACCCCTCCCCAAGCATGGTATTGGTAGTGTGGTATTTTCCTAAATTTAGTTATTTTCTAACAAACCATAAAAATTAATGAAGTTTAAAGATTGAATAAAAAATTATTATCCATAAGATGGCTGAAAAATATCAAATTCTCAATAACCTCAATTATTCAGAGATCTTGGCCCAGTAACACTTGATATCGCCACTAGTTGTGCCATATGTGAAAACACATTGAGTGAAGAGGAAATAACATTATTTTGAAAAGAAGTTGATGACAGTTATTTAGTTGTTTGTAGATGAATGAATATAGCTTTCCTAGATTGTGCCAGTCTGGCATGAAAATTACCTGAAGCACCTGCCAGAGAAAGATGCTGTGTGTGTGTGAAACTGGAAACAAGGTGATATCTGCTTTAAAGTTTGCCAGTGGAAATTATGTCAAATCTCTTAGGTGTCATCGTCTATAGCAATTGGTAATGATGTCTCTAACTATCAAGCCTGATGTGGCTACAGTCAGCATACCTTTCTTACTCAGCAAGGGTTCCATGAAAGCTACAAGAACAATTATTGATTTCACTGCTAATAAACTGACAATGTTAGATCAAACCATTCCATTGATTTTTACCTCAAGCAGTTATGATGCAGTTCCCATAGCTTAAAAAAAAAAAGAAGAAATCTCGGCCCAGATGGAGTTAGTGAATTGCTGGTGCATGTACTTTCTCTAGAAGAGAAAAAAATAGTGAAAAAAAAATTACTTTACAATTTGGACATACCAGAAGTGAAAAGATTATTGAATTGATAAATGTTGTTGATGGTAATAATCTTGATCTAAGTGAGTATATTAGAGAAACAGAATAAATTCACTGTGCAAAAGATGAGAACCCTAGTATCAGATGTGTCATTGCATTCATTTAGCAAAAGAAATTCTATGAAAAATGTGGGATTAAATCTAAAGGATTTTTCTTCTTTTATATGCCAAGTCTTTTCAGGACACAAGCAATCACAAATCTCTACACCATCACTCTTTGTCTGTTTTCCCATCCATTCACAAAGTCATTAAGTAGGTTACTTTCTGTTTTCTTTGCTTCTCTTGCTTTCAGTATATCCTGTGAGTTAAATTCTCCAAGCCTTCTTTCCTCATTAGGTAACCCAGAAAATTTCAACTTTATCATTCTGATTGCAAATATAAGTTTATAAGAAACGGAGATTTATTAAAATGGCAGACAAAAATTGTTTCCAATTTGCCTTCTGAGACAGGAGATCATGTATTTTACATGAAAAAAAAATAATTCAAAAAGGTGGAGAAAACTTTGTGTCATTATAGGGAATAAAGAAGACAAACAAATTTTGTAAAGATTCATCAACCTGCATAAAAGTGAATATAAGACTGTTTTTGGAGCATCAATTTGAGGGAATAGACTAATGATGAAAGTGAAGTCATAGCAAGCTCCAATTTAATTTGAAACAACCTTGAAGAAGTCAATCATGGGATAAAAGAAATTTCTACTGATGAGAATTCTGATGTCACTGGGTAGAAATTTGAGATTACATCATTCAAATGCAGTAGCAGAAGGATTATCTAAAATGTCTGGTGGTGATCATTTGTAAAAGTCTTAGATTTACAAACTGTATAAACTCTTTTACCAAATGTTACCTCAGATAGTAGTGAGTCGTTAGAGATGAGTCGGTTTGCAAGCTGGTATATTTCCTGTTAAAGGAAACAATATATTGTACAAAGTACTGGACTCTCAAGAAACTGGTTAAGTTTTTGGAAGATACAGTAAAGCAAGAGGAAAAAAATAAAAAAAAGATGTGGTTTTATGTATGTATGTATGTATGTATATGTGCACACATGCAACTTTTTTTTTCAGTCAGATCCTTTACTAGGGCAGATTTAACTTGTGGGAAAGGTCAAAACTCGTCCAAGTCCATGCAAATACTGTCATGTGGTTTTCACAAACTTTCAACTTTTCCTTGTTAGTCTAATGTGGAAGATGTTGTTGCAAGGTTGGAATCACTGTGGTTAGACACAACTTATCACAGGTGACCAACAGCCTGCAAATGTAACCCACCTTATCACAGGTGGCTAACTACCCACAAACATCTCCCACCTCATCACAGCCCAGAAATGGATCCTCCCTTATCACAGGGAACTAACTGCCTGCAAACAGACCCCACCTTATCATGGGCTAATTGTCTGCAAATGAAAATTGAACATTACTGCTTATTTGTTTGGGGGTGCTGCAAGGATCTGGTATTTTTGAGTAAAATATCAACTTGAATCAATAGGATAAAAGGACATAATTTACATTATTCAGACTATTGTCCTCATCTTTATAGCCATATTTATTACAACGGCCGAAACGTTGTAATAAATATGGAGACAAAGATAAGGATAATAGTCCGAATAATGTTAATAATGTATATAATACCTCATCTCAGAAATATAGACAGATACTGAAGGATAAAAGGACTAAAGTAAAGCACAAATTTTAGGTATTCTTCTTCTGGAAGCATAAGAGATCTTTCTAGGGTGCCTTAGTAGCACACATGGGTGACTTTCTATATTGTGGTTCAAGAATATTTGAGCATAATGTAATAAGTGAATTGACAAAAAACAAATCAGATTCCTTTTGCTATCTGGATTTGGAAATAGAGCAAATAATACATAAAATGTTTTTTGTCAGTAAGGAAACATTGATGAATTTTTTTTAATCATTTCACCCCAAGCAAGGTGATAATGCCATTAAGATACAAGGAATGAAAGAGAAAAGAAAACTTTAGAAGTGAGGAGTGGACAAAAAAAGGAACAAAGTTCAGGAATACAAAAAATGGTGATTAATATTGCATTTAAACTTTTGAAGATTGTAGGTGGCAGGGAAGAAAGAAATCAGAAGGGAGTTCCACAGGTGAGAAGTGTAAGAAAAAAAACTATTAGAATAGAAGAGACAGTTGCGTCTATTTCAATAGTAAAATCTAGTAGCACACTTAAATTCATATAGTCGAGACACTAAGGAAGAAAGCTTATCAGAACAGTTGCCATGAAAATATTTGTAGAAAAGACAGAGGGAAGCCACTTCACATTAGTGATAAAGTAACTGAAGTTAAGTTGCCCGATCAAAATTGATTAGATTACAGACCCTTCTTTGAATTTTGCCAAGAATCTTGAGATATACAGCAGGAGCACTAAGCCAGATAAAGCAACAGTATTCAATGCACAGATGAATGGTAGATTTATAAATGTGCATGATAAATTTTGACGAGAAAATTGTCTTTGCAATAGATGTAGCAATTAATTCAATATAGTCACTCCACTGTTTGGAAAATATGAACCCAAGAAGGTGTAGAGTTTTGCTTGCCTGGAGGTTAGCATTAGCTATGCTGATGGCAGGCAGAAAAAGTTCTCTGTGATGATAAAATGAAAGGAGTTTTGGAGGTGTTAAAATTTACAAGGCAAATATTTGTCCTAGGATATCATAGCCCTTGAGCTTGCAGAGAAGGCCATCATGTCAAACCCTCTTGAATGCTTTTGAGATATCTAGAACCAGATCCTGAGCTTTGTCATTCTTATCTAAAGCTTGATGGGCAAATTCAGTGAAGGTTGTTAACACATTGGTTGTAGACCTGGTGAAATGGAAGCCATATTGTTTATCCAAAAGGTGGCCATACAAAATAAGATGCTTGACTAATTTGACATTGATTAGAGTCTCGAGTACTTTGCCAAAAAGCAGTAATGGTGTGATAATTTGAAGGGTCAGATTATTCTCCAGAGTTCTTAAAAACAGGAACTACAGAGTGGGAGTTCCAACAAGCTGGAAAGCATAAAACCTCCAATATCTGAATGTTGAGAGAAAGAAGATTGAACCTTTAGCAAAAGAAGAATCTCTAAATATTTGCATCTCAGTTGGTCAGCTTACATGGGCATACAGTGAAACAGGGCCAGGTATTGTGTTTAATACTTAACCAACTTAGTGTGGCCATTACTAGACATGAAGTAATAGATATTGCAGCATCCTTTTCAATTGTCTGAATACTTTTTCTTAATATTGTTGTTCATAGTTTTTATTTTGAATTTTTACTATATTTCATTACTGATACTGATTGTTAATGTTTTCATTCTTTTCTAGAATTACAGCATCCACTTCCAATTGTACTGGGCAGGTCAGATTACCAGGTTTAAATGAATCTGTCATTTTGATTACAGTATCAGATGTAAGTTTTATTCTTATTTGGATTTATACATTGATTCAGGTTTTCCTATGTTGTTGAACCTTTTCAAAGTTCAAAAGCATCAATTTGATTCATATTGTGTTTGCAAAGTATTTATTGTTAATTATTATTTCTTTTGACTCAGTTATTTGAATCTGTCAGTTGTTTTTGGCTGGTCAGTTCATCAATTGTATGTCACCTCTGACATGAGACCATGATGACTGCCAAAAGAAATGAGTGAGAAAAAAGCCAAAAGCATTTGTGCTGTACAAAGATCAAACAGTTGTTGGAAGGTGATGATTTCCCAGATATTTTTCTTTAATTTTATGCCACATGTTTTCAGGATGTACTTTATCATAGCTCTCCATAGAATCCTTTTCTTTATTATCTGTAAATCATACACTTAGGACCAAATGACTGCCACCAATTTCAAAAGCACCTAAATGATATCTACTCCAAAGAAGTAGTACAAACTGAACCATGAAAGAAAGCCAATGAAACAATTGAAATAATAAAGAAAAAACAAATACAAAATTTTCTGCTCAAACCTCTCCTCCAAAAAATACAAAAATATTTGACAAACTGGAAGAAATTCAAGTGGAAAGCCAGAACCCACAAATGGCCAAAATCTCCAAATTTAAAACCTTGGAAAATTAAAACACAATTACATATTAAGCTAAAGCCCAAAAACATTTAGCAATCATTTATCACATAATCCAATGGAACTGTTGCAGAATAAAGGCAAACATAAATGAACTGCTTCTGCTAATAACTGATCTGTCACCGGCAGTTGTTTGCCTTCAGGAAACATTCCTTAAGCAAAATGACAAACTGAATATAAAAGAATGTCATCAATACAACTACACACATAACACTGGGCTTTGAGTGTCAGGTGCGACATCCATCCTAGTTAGGATGATGTACCTCAAACTAAAATAAATTAAACAATTACTTTACAGCTGTTAAAGTGAGATCTTACACAGGACAATAAACATCTGCTCAGTATATATCTCACTAAATGAACTAGTAAATGAATCTGGCATTCATGAAATCGTAAGACAACTCCATGCACCTTTTATGATATGAGGGGACCTTTACTTGTCACAGCACCATATGCAGTTGTAGAGACGCAGACCAAAGTGGAACAATATATTCCTGCTCCACTAAGGTGCTTCAAGTGCCAAAGATTTGGGCATCATAGGAATAGCTGCAGGAGTCGCCCAATATGTGGAAAATGTGGCCAAAGGGATTCAGAAGAAGAATGCCACTATGAAGTAAGATGTGCTGCCAGGAAAACCATCCAGTATAAAATAGGAGTTGACATGCCGTTAAATCCAACATCCATCCATCCATCCAGTATATTCATGATCATGTGACTTCTGGAAAAGGGAAAAAGAGATAGTCAAAGTGAAGCATAAATGAAATCTCTCATTCGTGGAGACAAGCCAAATTGTAGAAAACTACATGAAAGGCCTTTCTTATGCAAAAATAATGCAAAGAAGGACCACTGAATTCCATTCAACCTGACAAATACAGAGCCCTCATTGAGAAGCTTGTACATATAGGACCAAATGAATGGCCCAAATTTTAAAATTAAACAAACCACATATGCTCCAGACTGATAGCATTAACCAGTTGCCTATGTAAAACTATGGAGAGAATAGTCAACAACAGGTTGACTTGGTATCTGGAAACTAAAGGCTTATTCAGTAACTTCCAATGTGCTTTTAGAAAAAAAAAAGAAGCACCATAGACCACTTAATATGCCTAGAGACCTTTGTAAGGGAAGCCTTCATTAAGAAGGAACATCTCCTGACAGTCTTTTTTGATGTGTATGATACAATATTCTTTTTTGATGTGTATGATACAATATACTTTTTTGATGTGTATGTTACAATATAGAAATTTGGTATCTTGAAAGATCTTCATGAACTGGGCCTAAAAGGAGGGCTGATTCAGTTCATAGAGAATTTCCTGGAAGACTGAATATTTCAAGTCTATATTGGAACTGTGCTATCAGAATTGCAAAACCAAGAAGAAGGTGTTCCACAATGAAGCATTCTATTCTTCATAAAAATTAACTCCATAGTTAAATCCCTAAACCTAGGAGAGAGATGCTCACTATATGTCAACGATTTTCTAATAATGTACATAAAGTATGCATACCATAAAAAGACAACTCCAACAATGCCTCAATAAAATACACAAATGGGCCATGGAAAATGGTTTTACATTTTCCAAAATGAAAACCAAATGCGTACATTTCTGCAAATTAAGAAAATTGCACAATGACCCCTGTTTAAAATTAGATGGAGCAGAAATCCCAACACAAGTTCCTAGGCATCATTTTTGACAAAAAGTTAATATTCATTCCCCATCTAAAATATTTAAAAATAAAATGTAGTAAAATCCTTCAATTTCTGCATACTGAAAGGGGAGCTGATCAACAAACATTAATTGAATTATACAGATCACTACTTCACTCAAAACTGGATTATGCTAGTTTCATATATGGAGCAGCCAGAAAATCATAACTGAAAATACTCAACGCAACCTATCATCAAGGCCTCAGACTAGTACTTGGGGCTTTTAGAACATCCGCAGTGGAGAGCTTATACATAGAATCTAATGATACACTTCCACGTTTAAGGTGCATTAAACTGGTACAACAGTACTATGACAAAATAAAATCATGCCTAACTAACTCGGCCTACAGCAGTACCTTTAAACCTAATTATTGTGATCTATTCCAAAAAAAAAAAAAAAAAAAAAAGAAAATACAATACAATCCTATGGACCCAGGGTGAAATCCGTTGCTGAAGAGTTAGGGACCTCACTCTCAAACATACAAGAAACGACTGCAGCCAGTATTCCACCATAGACAATCAAGCAATCCAAAGTCTTGTTAGAATTAAATAAACTTCCTAAATAAAAAAAACACACCCACTTATATTTCAGGACAATTTTCAGAGCATATTGGAAAACTACCCTAACCATACACTCATCTATACAGATGTGTCAAAGTGTGAGGACAAGACAGGATGTGCAGCAGTATCAAATTATTATGCAAAATGAGTACTATTTGCAAACATAAAGACATTAAACTATGTTGGATTTCTAGCCACATTGGAGTGGAAGGTAACAATAAAGCAGGCCTAGCAGCCAAATCAGCTTTAGATATGGTAAATAAAGTTTTACTTTTAAACATTACATTAAAGAAGCAAACATTTCTCTGTAAATGAATTTAATTACTTATTATTTTGAAAGAGAATAGAAACAAGATACATTGAGAATTTAGTTTTGAAAAGCGATTGTTTAAATTTCAAGTTGTATTTGAAAAGAAAAAAAAAGAACTTTAGTTAAATAAAAATTATGAGAGAGACAGACATTAGTCAACATTAGTTGTATTGAATATTTGTTTTATGAACTATATTTTATTTAAATTAATTTTTGAAAAAAAATAAGGCTCACTATAGTTTTTTTACTTAAATAAAACTTTATTAAAAATTATTTACTTTTTTTATATTAGTTACAAACCCAAAAAATAATGAAGTTTATTTTTTAAAGATTGAATAAAAAATTATTTTCCATAAGGTGGCCAAAAAATATGAATAAGTCAATAATACACATACACACAAATGCCCTTTAGGGTGATACTGAGTCTGTGTATATATATATATATATATATATATATATATTTTGTTGATAATGTAGTTTTTTTTTAGTTTTAGCCAGATATACACACACACTTGAATATTTGAATAAATAAATATTAAACTTTTTTTCAAATAATTGTATTTAATATTCTTGTTTTAAATTTACTTTGTTGTTTTAATATTCATTTTTTTTAAAGTTACGCTTTTATTTACTATAGATATGGAAATAAATTCAAGAGAATAGAAATTTTAAAAATACATATAGAGTTTCGAAATAATCAGTAGAATTAAAAAGTAAAACTGAATGGTAATAATGATCGAGGAATGAGAATTATTACTGTTCGTTTTTACTTTTTGTGGTGAACAGCCCTGTAGAAGCAAGCGAGCCAGAGTGGCTTGCATCTGGTGTATAAGAAAATAAGGGTCTTACCTTAACATGTGGCACGTGACATCAGCAAGTTTGCTCCGTGAAAATGGCATTACTCTCCTGTCCAGCCATTCTAGAAGTATGTGTAGTGATGAGGGTTTTTTGTACAGTTTGGCAAGCTTCCACCTATAGCAAGTCGTGTTCTGATTGGTCGAACTGGAGGAGGCAATTTGCCTGTGTAACCGAGAATAAAAGTGAAGAATGCTGATTGGTTGGTGAACTGTGGTGTTGGCCTGATAGAAGAGGGCTGGAGCAGTGAAACAGGGGAGAAACAATGGCTATACTTAATGATGTGTTCAGAAAGCAAGGACGGTGAATTGAACCAGCAATATTTTAATTTGTACAAGTGACGTTGCAGCAATACAGATTTATTTAAACTACACTTTTTAATTCTGAGAATTTTTTAATGCATTCTGATGCATTTTAATTTTAAAATATCTTTGTAATTACAAATCATATGGTGATAATTTTTTTACAAAAAGCTGGCTTGGGTGATAATGAATCTGTATATATATTTACATTGTTGTCAATTATTATAGTTTTTCAGTTTTAGCCAGACACACGCACAGCTACTCTTTATATATGTATAGATGTAGATTCAACGACCAAAATCCCATACACTGACTTTAAGGAGTTCATTAATGAATATATTCAAAAGGAATGGCAACAGTGCTGGGCTGATAATCCACACAATAAACTCTTTGCAATTCAACCCAAACTAAGAGAATGGAAGTTGGCTTTCAGAAAATCTCGAAAGGAGGAAGTAGTACTGGCCTGCTTATGTGTTGGCCACACTAGAATAACCCACTTGTACTTGCTAAACGATGAAGATGAACCAGTATGCCAAGCATGTGAAACGGCATACACTATTAATCATATATTAACCGAGTATTCAGACCTTGTTCTCTTAAGACAAAAATGCTATAATATAAACAGCATGTATGAGATCTTTGAGAAAGCAAAAGTGGATGGCATAATATCATTTCTTAAAACAGAGGACATCTACCAAAAAATATAAACCAAATGAGAATGACAATAAAATCCATTTCTCTATAAACTAAATAACTGAAAAGAATGCATTAATGAAGCCAGAATCTTGACAAAAACCCTCTTTACAAAAATATGCCAATGAAACCTGATATACAAACTGATATCTTACAAAGAATACATATTCTATTCATATAAATATATTGTAAAAAAACTTGTCAGCATTAAATAACCCATTAAGGTTGATATGCTGTAAAACAAAAACCAAACAAAAAATCAACAGGGAGCATGTAGCACTGCATTATCAACATTAAAGTTGTATTCATTAATACAGCACTTGACTTCATAATTACTCTGCTTTTCTTTTTGTTGCCTTCCAAAACTAGATAATTAATGCTAGTAATTAATACTATCCTCTTGCAATTTTATTGTCACTTGTCTTGTGCAGCGATGTTATACTTAAATATATAAATGTATTGTAGATTTTATTTATTTTCCATATTGTGTTCTGTATAAAATTTTAAATGGGAACATATATATTTTGGAACACTAGATGTGACACTATTCTTCAAAGAATTGTTTTAAATTACTAAACTATGTTTTTCTTAAAGATATATATTGTAGAAATATTTTACTGAGAGATTTTTTTTTTTATAAGAAATTTCCCTATATGTAACTTTTTTAATTTTTAGGTGGTGGAATGTGGCCATTTTTGGGCACGATATGTTGAAAATGAAGATGATCTTTATTTTGTGCAAGTTACCCTTAATCATAATGAACTGATTGTAAGTATTTTTCAACCACTTTTCTTTGAATTTCTCTATTCATTTTGATTGGTCTTATCAGTTGTGTTATTCAGAATACCTATCTGTGATTTTTGTGTCATATAGTTGCAATTTTTCTCTTTATTGAAGTTAGTGACATGTTTACAAGCAATTCTATAGACCAAGGGTCGGCAACCTTTTGGAGAGAGTGGGCCAGAAAGCTATGCAGTGTCTTGTACGAGGACCATGATATCAAATATTAAATTGACTCAACTTCAGACCGCTCTGTCCAGAAGGCTGACTTAGTCTGGAGATTTAAAGAAAAAACAACAAAGTTAATGTTATATTATCTAAACAAGGTTGCATTATTTTACTGCAGAAATTACAGGATAACAAAAAAAAATGTAAATTCTTTACTACAAATGAAATACAAAAATGGCGAATTATTTAATAAGACACTTGTTTCTGTTTATTGTTTGATAACTTCTCCACATCAGGTGAAATATTTGTCAATGACAGTAACAAAACATCGTCCAGGTGGTCATCATCTAACCTTGTTCTTAAACAACTTTTAGTATATTTCATTTTTGAAAGAAGTTGTTCACAAGTGTATCTCGTTCCAAATAATGATACCATCATTTTCACATTATTCAATCAGCTTTTATATTTTCCACTTTGCAAAATATATTTCTTGTAGAAGTCAGCAGTGGATTCAGAATTAAATTTTGATTTAAAAAATTGTTGTATTGTAAGTCTACTAACTCCAACTGATATTTTTCTGCCACTTGTTCCACGTGTTTTTTTTTTTTTTCATAAGTACAAAATAATTTAAATTGATTTCCATATTGCCAGAAGTCAGCAAAACAAGAGGAAAACTAGATTCTCAAATCCTGAATAGAGCTCACAAAGATGTCTGATATTAAATCTATCTTGTGTTTGTGGAGATTTGGAAAATGAGAGTAGTTGCCTTTCTGAAGTTGTGATTCCCATAATCAGTTTTCTTTCAAAAGCAGTAATTTGACCAAAAATCTCAAATATAAGCTTGTTCTTTTCTTGAAGCTCTAGCTCAAAATTCAAAGTGTTCATGTCAGTTGTGATATCTGCTAATATTGCTAAGTTGACAATCCACTCTATCTTGGTCTTGCTCTCCAAAAACATAGCAATCTCTTCTCATTCCAGCATTTTTACATGGCTAAGCCATTGAACATTTCAAAAATATGTAAAGTCGCTATACTGTGCTTCAATTTGTTTTAGAAATTCTTGAAACTAGCAATGATTTAGTCTTCTTGACAGCATAAAATTTACTGTTTTCACAACCACTGTCATGATGTCCTTAAAATTTAATGACTTTGCACATAATGCATTCTGAGGGATAATACAATGAAATTTGATTACCTTGTGATCAGTACCAATGTGTTCTTGGAGCAATGCAACAAACTTCTTTTTCTCTCTGATCATTGATGATGCTAAATCTGTGGTTACTTCAATAAACTATGATGAATCAAGATTTGTTTTTGTTATCTATTTTATCACACTTTCAAAGATTTTCTGCTCCAGTGCTAGTGTTGTTCATAGAAATTAACTGTACAAATTCTTTCAAAATATCAAATGTTGGTATTAGCCTCCTCACAAATACTGCAAGTTAACAAGTATCTGTCATATTTGTGGTTTCATTGATAGCAATGGAATAATACTCCAGATTTTGAAAAATGTTATCCAAGCCACTTCCGAGATTTGGTGTCAGTTATTTAATTCACTTTGTTACTGTTTTTGTCATTAAGCTGATCGCAGAAAATAATTTCCTTTTTTTTTTTTTTTTTTTTTTTTTTTTTTTCTGGACAAAAAACATTCACTACCTTCAACATGCATTCTTTGAAGAACTTTCATCATTCAAATGTTTTATCCTTTCTGCAATTAGTTTTGACACGTTGTAGTTAGCACAAGTTTCTATCATTTTCTTCAATCTTTCTAATGAAAAATGATGACTGCTTTGTTATATCCTTTCTCAGTCGTGATGGGAATTCAGTTCAGGTATTCTATCCTATATGGGTTACATTTGCTTATAAATTACATAAACTATGAATAGGTGCTGAAAAGTTATTGACCTGGTCAATAAAGAAATAAAATTATGTTTGATCATTTGATCAGATTTGGGGAAGTGAATCTGGCAGATAACTTTTTAGCACATTAAATATAATGACTATTATAGGACAGGTGCTAATAGTGAAGATGCTTCATCTAAAAAGCAATAGTAATACAATTGAGTAAAACTAGTAATATCATGGTAGATAAAATACTTCAGCACAAACAAGTTTTATTGAATTGTTGGTTACTTATTAACCTATTTAAACTTTAATATCAGGTTACTGGTACAATCCTGGCATCTAATTATCAACAGGAATTGGAGAATTTAACATATAAGTAGAGTATGATTGTCTATATAGGCCGAGCCAAAAGTAGGCTTACACTTTGTAGGTGTGCACTTTACACTTTTTAAAAACATTTTATTACATTTATATTTATTTGTTACCATCAGATTTGTTCAAAACTGTTTATGTAAATTTGTTTAACACTTTACTTACATTTTTAGCACAGTTTAAGCTCTTAAGTGCTCAAAATGTCCTCCTTCAACATTGTAGCTTTCCTCAAACCTCTCCAGAACACTATGACACATATTGCAACACAAATCTCGATCTGCATCAATTTCAATAAATACCTTTGTGTTGTACTCATTTAATTCATCCACTGTTTGGAAATTTCTCTCAAAAACCTTCTTTACTACACCCCCAAAAAAGAAATTTATTGGTTTTAGGTCGGGTTAATGTGGTGGCCATTTTATACTGCCCTTCTTCTGAATCAATGTTGTGGAAAGGTTTGGTTAAGGTAGTCCCTTACTGCTAAAGCATAATAGAAGGGTGGTGCTGAAAGAACAGTTAGGCAAAGTTAGCTCTGATTCTGAGCTGTGATCTAAAATGTGAAACAAATAGTGAAACAACTGTAACCCTACTTTTGGCCCACCTTGTATATTAGCAACTTTACACTGGTTATTTACTAATCTTCACTGCTGATTTATTTTTGTTTCACACAGAAAGTTCTGAAATAGCAAAATTTACCCAAAATATTTAAAGATAGAGTAACAACAAGTGGTCAGGTCCTAGGGTTCAATGTTAGTACCATGGGGTGTTTGAACAGCCCACAAAATATTTTTCCTTAGTATTTAGCTAGTGGTAAGTCAATTTTTTATGATGAGTCAAGTTAATTCTTGAATATGTTTGTGAAGCAACTACAAGGAATTACTGATAGTAGCCACATATTTGTGTGAACTACAAGCAGTTTTATTTGTTTACTGAAAATAAAATGAAACCTATTTTTGCATATTTGGACTCTTGAAATTTAAAAACTCATTTTTAATGTTGTCATTTTTAATTTTATTTTTCAAAATAAAGCCTTCTGTTTTTAATTGTTATTTATCCTATAAAAACCAAAAAGAACACTGAAGACAATTCATAGCAATAAATTAATATTGAAATGCTATGCCTATAATATTTTAAATGGGGTGTTTGAAACCTTCCCCAGTACTAATGGTTAAAAGAAAAGGTAATGAGGGCAAAGACTCAAATATTTGATTAATTTTTAAAACATTGCAATAATTTAAATATCTTCTTTTGTAGAGATTAAAAAACAGTTAAAGCTTGTAAATTCATTATTTTAAAATTCCCAATATCAATATTCCATCATATTGTCACCTCTCATCATGTGTCAAATTTGTTTTGATTGAAACTATACATATTGTAAAAATAAACTTTGTTTAGAGTTGGCATTAATGCTTGTCAATACATTGAGCTCAAAATTTTACAGCAACATGCTTACATTTATAAATGCATTATTTCACAGAAGAAACCAACACATTTTTTAATGAGAACAAATAGAAGAATTTAAAAGTGCATGAGGAATTATTAATCTATGTAGCCTGGTTGATGACTTTTTAGCAGGGAAGGTTCTCTAGTAATTCATAGAGATATAAAGTAATTCTTGTACTGTATTTTAATCAATTTGGGCTGGTCTCTGTCTGTGTTTTGCTTAGTAACAGAGATAGATAATAAACAGACCTCTTCTTGTCACTCTTGACATTACTTTATTGTATACTTGTTGATAAAATATTTGTATGAACTTCTTTCTTCAGTAACACATAGCTGTCAGTGAATATGGTCAGGTGTATTTTTGATAAGCAAATCAAGAATTTCTGGGATGAGTAATCATTATTTATACTATTAACTTGCAGGCTATTGTACTCATCTTTGTTGTTTCTATCACAATGTTTCAGCTGTTGTGCCTTCTGACTTTGCTCAGGTGCTTCAGGAGTACTATGAATAAGAACTAGACATGGGCATAAGAACAATCTGCTCTTGTAGATTAAATAAAAGGTTAGTTCAGAATTGCCTGTAGGTTAACCAGATTGACATCCACCTTATGAAGGTCAGAGGGCACAATGGCTAAGATGTGATAACAATAACAAGGATGGGGACAAGAGTCTGCATGTAAATAAAGATTCTTTTTTGGAATTTGGGTAACTTCAGAAGACCTTAAATTTTTGTCATATTGCCCTGGCAACTCGGGTGGGGGAAATATCTAGTCTTACTAAATCTTAATAAATTCTAATTGGTTTATTTCGGGTTGAAATCTTACTAAAGCCTCCTCTGAACTCATTTTATGGCTTCTAATTATTATTTTTAATCTTTTCTTTCTTATTCTGCTTGATGTTTAATTAGTTTGTCTAAGTTTTTGTTTTTTTTACTGTTTAATCTGAATTATTTCCTGCTTCAAATCATCATTAAACATCTCCATGCATTAAAATGCTGAACTAAAGTTGCCATTGTGAATCTCACAGGACACAAGCTGAAAAAGTTGTTTAATTCAAATTCTCCTGGCATCAGTTTAAACTAACACTTTCCTTCTTAATATATTTAAACTGTAATTTTGGAAAGTCATATATCAAAAGAATATGCAGAATAGACTTTTCAATTTAAAAAAAAATTGATTAAATATTAAAAGATGTTTTTTTTTTAAAAAGATCCTCATTAATTTTTTTTCCTTTATGTATCATAAGTGTAAAATACATTTTAATATATGAAATTGGAATATTGTTATAAATTTCAGAAACAAATTTAAATTGATTTGTAAATTTCAAGGATTTCTCTTTATGTAATATGTGTTTAGATTTGCAGATATTTACTGATATAGCATAAAATTAAAAAGGTGGGTGTGTTAAGTAACTAAAAGAAATATTTCCACTAATTCTTTTTACAAAATGACTTTTTCATAACTTGAGTATTCAATGAGTAAATACCAAAAATTCAGATTAAAGTTTATTTCATGTTTGACAATTTATTTTTACATTGGTCATAAGCAGTTTGTGAGAATATAAAGAAAAAAAAAAAGCTAATATTATGATTATAATGTCAATATGCCACAAAATCCTCAGCAATGTCCCCCAAATTACTTCGCATTTAACAATTCTTTTGACAAATATATCAATTTTTTTATATATAATTATGTCATATATGATAATTTATAAGAATCTTAAAAATCAAAAATACACCTTTGGTATAGTCAGTATGCTATAAAATCATCAGCTATGTCTAATTTTTATATAGGAGTTCCTCTCTTTCTGGATTTGCTAATTTAAAACTGTACGTAATGCTAATGATTCTTATAAATGCCAATTTACCAGCGACATTAATTTTCTTTTTTTTTTCTTTTATGCAAATGTCTTTTTACATTTCAGATGCTGAAAGATCCTCATAAAGGCATGATGTGTGCTGCTCCATATCAATGTGGCGAGGTTGCTTATTATAGAGCTAAAATAGAACAAATTGTGGACAAGGTGGTTTATGTAAGTTGTCTATTTTCTTCTAAGGAAATGTGACAAAGATTTTGATTGTTTAATTGTCTATAAATCTGAGAAGAGTCTTTAAAGTTGTTTTGCACAAATGAACTGTTCTTTTTTGTATTTGAATTTGATACAACATTTTGGCTGATTTGTTCAACTTTTGTCAGATATATGATCAGAAATAGGATTACATACTCCTTTTAATAGAAAAATAACATTTGTGAATGTTTACATAGATGATTTCTAAGCAACAATAAACACGTGCAAATAAGATGCTAGAAGCGAAAATCACACCGCATCTTATGAATTTTAATTTGAATGAAAACTCTAACATTTTTAGGCATTTAAAATAACATGCCTGCCCGCACACACAATTCCGTAAAATACTTGTTGAAAATACAATTATACTTGGACATGAAAACAATAGACAAAAACTAAAAATCCTTGAAGCATTATACATCAAACAGTTGAAACACAACCTAAACAAAATCAATTATGGCATCTCTACAAATATTCTTAAATGTCTATAATTGGTAACAGAAGCCATTGGTTTATACCAACAGCTTTCCATATTTCATACTTCTCCAATTCACTCTTGTGTGGTCATGTGTGACGTCATGAGATGCGGTGCGATTTTCGCTTCTAGCGTCTTATTTGCACGTGTTTATCGTTGCTTAGAAATCATCTATGTAAACATTCACAGACTGTCATCACTGTCTTGTCCGTATATTGCTTAATATGTTGTAATTGACATCTTTGATAATGGCTTATGTAAGCTGAAAGCTTAGATTGTATTAAAAAAATATGGATCAATATTTTGAATTTCTTTCTTCGTTCAATGATAATGTTATTAAACTTATCAGACATTACGAAAAAAATTTACATAAAATAAATAGACAACACTTGTCTATATTGTTTAATGAAACGTGTATGAATAAATATATATATATATATATATACACACACACACACATTTCCACTTTTTGGTGAAAAAGAGCAGAGTATTGAAGAAAAAGGCTCCAAACTTGATGAAAACAATGTTTTATCATCAAAATGTTTGTTATTATTATCAAGAAGAAAGACCAAAGTATTTTTTATTATTTTATTAAATTTTTTAATCCTTTCTAGTATGTTTGAAATTTTGGTTAGAAATCTTGTTTTTCTTGTATCAACAGTGGGCCAAACATTACTATGAAAAATTTAGTGTCTTTTTTGTGGTAAAAATCACATTATTTTGGAAATTCTTGCGAAAATCAAATAATTGTCAGATTTGAATGAAATTTTCAGGACTTATTCCCAAATGAATAAATTATTTTTGAAATATTTTTTTAAAAAAATCTTGGTAAAAATATTTTTTTCTTTTCACTTAATTTTATTAAATTTTAAGAAATTAAAATTTCAGGAACTTCATATTTATATTAGTTAAAAGCATAACTCTGGAGAATTTAAATCAATTTGTTTTTGTCAAACAGAAACATCATTTACTGAAATTCTGCTCTGAATTGTAAAATAAAAAAAATGCCATATAACTATCACATTATTTAATTAGAAAAGATTTTAATTGCTTTTATATATAAGATATATTAAGGACACTACTGTCTTAAGGAGGACATTTTTTTTTTCATTGAAAAATGAATTTTTAAAAGAATTGTTTTTCATGTTTTTTTTTTTTTTTTAATTAGAAAGATTTATTAACTTTTAAATCTTTTAAAATTCTGTATTAATTTCAGGAGTTTTGATTTGATAATATTGTTATTAAGTGAAAACTATATTTACTAATTTAAACACTTAATACAAATCCTCAAATAACAATATTTTTAAAAGAATTTTGAATTTTTTTTGTGTGTGAATGTGTCTATTTTTGTAAGTACAGGGGACCATACACAACATTATCAGAGTGATGACTATAGTAACTTTAAAGTCAACATTTCTAAAATTTAGTAAAACATTAGATTACGGTGAATATTTTCCTAAATTTTTAAGATTATTGATTACTTAAAAAAATTATATAAAAAAAAAAGGCACTCATGACATTTTACAGATAAAGTCTAAATAAATTATCATATATAGACATATTGTGGTTAATTTATTCTTCCTTTTCTCCTTTCTCTCCCCAACCTTGCTTCCCCATTTATTTTCTTTTATATCTTATCCCTTTGTCTTTTTTCATTTCCTGTAAAAGGACTTATTAAATGGGTCCAATGTTTGGCACCCTACTCTCACTCTTAACTATCTTAATAAAGATGGATTTAAACATATTCCTATCTCTCCTTTCCCTCTCTAATTTATATCATATCTGTCTTCTCCTCCTCCCCCTCTCTCTACCAACTTAAATTTACTCCTCAAAAACTTGTATAAAAATAATATGTAAATTTTTAAACCATTTTCTTTTATGTTTGGAAATATGATCTGAGGAACCAGGAAAAAAACCCTTTCCTGGCAAAAGTAAAATATAATCAATGAACTCTTAAGGTTATCTGTTTTTTTTTGTTTTTTTAATTAAACTAATATTTGCTCTGTTTTTACATTGAGCTCTCTGGATTACATCCTCCTTGGGATTATCCATACGGATTACCAAACATTTCATTACCTAACTTTATATATATATATGTAGTATTTTTTTTATTTTACCAATTTAACGTGGGCTTTAACATCTCTGCCAGCCTTAAAATAATGAATAATCACTATACTATCTTTTAATATTGGTTGATTTTCTCCAGTATATACACCATGTCTATATCATGTGACATAATCAAGACATTTTCACCAATTGAACATTATAAGCATCTTTTTGCAGCAATTATTACAAAATAGTGTGAATTCATGTGATTGTATTCATTATCAATATTTAGAAACCATAGCAAGGCTGAGTATATGTGCTAGTATGTTGGATCTATGTAAGATTATTGTCAAGCTTTTGAAGTCTTATAGAAGGCAAACAACAATACTGCATAGAGTAATATCACTGGAATAGTTACTATATTTATTACTTACTAATGGAAGTTTAATCTAGAAAAGCACATATGTAGTACAAGTTGTTGCAACTAATTAAAAGACAAGTATGATGCAAAACCTATTGAGGCCTAATATTGCCCTTTTGGTCATAGCATTTACTGTTTTTGTCATTAAATGTTGCCAACCTGCTGACTGGATGGGTAGACTGTTGCATATTAGCTCTGGCAACATTGCAGTTTCTGAATTCTGAGTTTTACTTCTAAACTTGTTGCCACCTAATGCTAGATAATCCAGTCTTTTCTGTTGTTGTTTAAAACATGGCAGAGAGAAAAAGCGATGTATTAATAACTTTTCCAAGGAGATTTGTGTGAAAGTGAACCCAATTGCCATGACTAGAATTTGAACTTGGCATGCTGATCACACTTTGTGTTGATAACCACTATGCAGCATACATCTTGCAAAAACACATTTTTCAGTAATAACAATTTGGATCATCCAGGTAAATTGGTTAAATATATTTAGAGGCAAAAGCATACTTTCCTTTCTGTTTGGAATACAGGTGTGATAATTTTTATTAAATTTTCCACTCAGACATTAACCTACTTAAGATAGTTCAATGATATACATATATAAAATAAAAGCCTGTTCTCTTATGGGCTTCCATATATATCCACAATGAATTTTATATCTTGTGAATTTTATTTGTTTGATTGCTACTTACAGGTGTTCTTTGTGGATTTTGGCAATGTGGATAAAGTGAATGTTCACAGTTTGAGACAATTGCCAAGTTCTCTTAAAACCATTCCTTACTTGGTAAGTGTTTATTTTTCCTCTTTCTAACATTTTTGTAATCAAGTATATCTGTTTTATTTTTGCATGTGTTTTGTGTAAATATAAAAAAGGATTATATTCCTTATTTAATTGACAATGATACTTTAATTTGTGTAGGCTAATTTCCTTTTTCTTTGCTTCACTGGGCCAACCAATCATTTCTTTGCCTGAACGATTTGCATACACCATAAAATGGTGTTAGCAAAAGTGTTGTAATTAAAATGGTTTGAAGAGTGTCAGCATTTTGAGTAGGTGTCTATTTCATCTACAGCATCTAAAATATTACAATTTATAATATGTTAAATTTTCAACCTATACTTTTAAACCAATGACAATATTGCCTGCTTCTATTTACACCCAAATTGTGATTGAAATGCTAAGGTGGTTACCATTCATGACAGAAAATAACTCCATTTGAATAACAAATCAATTACAAAAGCCATCAACAAAGCATTTTTTAAAAAGATTGCAAAAGATCAGATTGCAAAGGAATAACAAATGCAAATTAGGTATCTCCAGTAAGTAAGAACAGCTGATTTGGGTAAAGTGTAAGATACATACTGCTAGATATAAATCAAAATTGTATTTATTTGATGTTGCTATTTTATGTAATAAATATTACAAACTGACAATCAACTTTATATACATTATTTTTCAGAGTTTTGAGGGAGAAAACACTGAGAATTATATATAAGATACATTATATCCAGTTACTTGGACTAATGTTTTCAGTCCCTTATATTGCTAATTCTCTCTGAATAGTTTTTAGAATGGTTTCATTGATACTTCCAAGCAACATATTCAGGTCAAGTAGACATGGTTAAGTGTAAGTGACAATTCTCAATAAGCAGAATTGATAAAACTCTCAGTAAACAATAAGGGGAAGAAGGAAAAAGAATAGTATAAAATAATATGAAACAAATATAACACAAGTCAAAAACAAAGCAAATATTAGACAGTAATAAAGTAAAAAATGTTCATAAAGTAAAAATAGCATTTGCATGCAAAAGGGATACAGTCAAGTGGCTATATAGACTGAGAATTGTCAATTTTTTATTGGTTAGGAAGCAATCCCAGCATGCATCTGTAGGATTTGTGTATAAATTTTGTTAGAGGAAGTTATTCTCAGATTGAAACTAACAGTTACTTTTGTGTTTGTAAAAGTTTATACTCTGATAATTTCTTCTGGGTTCTTAGCTACTGTAAGTAGAATGATTCTATTTGTAACCGTAAGTTCTATGCCAACAGTTTCTTCTGTCACACTTCTCACCTGTGAAACTCTCTTCTGGTTTCTTGCTTCCCTGTCAACTTTGATCTTCAAAAATTTAGATGCATTGTCAATTGTTATCTTCTGTCTTTTCTTGTTCTTTTATTATTTTCTCTCCTTAATAGTATATTTTCTAACACTTGTGTCTTAGTGGCTTTATTGCCTTGCTTGGGCTGAAATGATTAAAAAATATCTCCAAAAATTCATCCACTTGTAGTGCATTCTCGGTCCTTCTGATGGCCAAGAATACACTGCAGAAATAAAATAATCACTCTCCCGACAACAGCCAACAAGATGATTACTTTATTTGTTGCTATACTAATTTTCAAGAGCTTTTCATAGTAGAGGGTTACTGTGTAGAATTAATGTAGGAAAGGACAAGCGTTAAGAGTAGAGAGCTGAAGTAGACTTTAGAAAGAACTGAAAACACAATCCCAAACAGGAAACAAGGGATAAACCTTTATTCCTGTTCAAAAGACTGTGGAGGAGTGTGAACTGGATGATAGGAAAACCTATCTACTCTTATTGGTGGAGAAGAGAAAAAAAAATATAAAATGAAGTAAACCAAAATCTGAATTGTAAACTATCAAATAGCCGGCCAAACAAACTTTTGCTATCTCAAATTACAAAGGATTCATTCCAGTCAAAGTCAAATAAATAAATAAATATATATTATTTGTTCATACATTTGATTTTCATTTATTCCAAAGTTTCTAATAAATAATACGAAGACCCTCTGGCATTACTTCACAAACTCATAAAAATAAAAGCATTCTGTAGATAAGCTACTGTCAGTCTGATTAATTTATCTTAAATCAGAAGAGCGACTGAAGTTTATCATGTTACAACGACTCACTTGAACATGGCATAAAATTTGTTTTTGTGTTAACTTAATTCTTTTCATGCTTACATTTTGAGAAATCTGCTTTTATTGCAAGTGCACAGCAGTAACTAGCAAATATAACCTCATCAGTTATAAGATGTCCTAATATGTGCACTTGTTAAATTTTTATAGTCAATTTTGTAAGTCAGTAAATTTTAGTATAACAAGTACACAACTCTTTATTAAATATGATTAATATTATAATTAAATATAATTTAGTTCCTATTAGCCCTTAAAACAACTCATGAGTGGTTATTTATATATGATTGGGAACAAAGTGAAAGACAATCTAATTTCATAATGTTAAAAATTAGCAAAGAACTATTGGAACTACTAGGTAATCTTGACATATTTGTTAAGGATATTAGAATAATCCAAAACCTATACTGGTAGCAAACCGCTTGCATACAGAGAGAAAATGAATTCAGAAAATATACAAAAATAGAAAGACGGTGTAAGACTTATCCAACTTATATAGTGAGAGGATTCTGAGAAACTCAGAAGTCCTACCAGGATTCATTATTGGTGGCCACAATCTTAACAACATAAGATATACAGATGACACAGTGTTGATAGCAGATACAGAAAGGAAATTACAAGAACTTTTACAGAAAGTAGTGAAGGACAGCAAGAAGAAAGGACTAAACATCAATTACAAGATAGAATGTATGGTTGCTAGCAAAAGAAACAGCCCAAATTACAAATGGGAGATACTGAAATCAAACAAGTACAAAAATTTAAATATCTGGGAAGTATTTTAACAGAGGATGGAAAATGCAATACCGAAATTTGAAGGCACATTGGGATAGTGAAAGATGCCTTCCAAAAGCTAAGCAATTAAGAAACAGGAAAATTTCATTAGAAACAAAGAAAAGAGTACTGAACTGCTACATAATATCAATCCAGTAAATGCTGGACAGTTTCCTCAAAGATGAAGACAAGACTTGAAGAAACAGAAATGTGGTTCTACAGAAGGCTGTTGAGAATACCTTGAACCAAACGTGAGCAATGAAAAAGTTTTAGAGAAAATGGAAACAAGAAGGACACTTATACTTAACATCAGAAATAGTGTTGAAATTTCAAGGGCACATAATGAGGAAAAAGGGCTTGGAAAATTTGATATTCACATGACCGATTGAAGATAAGTGGGACATAATCTACCTAGCAAACAAGAGTAAATGGATGGCAGAACATTGTTTAGAAGAAATAACAAAAAGACAGTTGAGAGATACAAAGGACAGCAACTTGTGGAGCGCTATGATTGCCTATGTTCTAAATGTACATGGTACATAGAAGAATCTTTCAGTCAGAAAAGGATCACACTTATTTTATAATTTTGCTCATTTGAACTCATTGATAGAATTGTTTAGAAACTAATGTTTTTTTTTGCATCACCATCATTATAGAAATTTCTAAAGTGAGAAAAGAGGGCTTGGAAAATAAGATACTGACAGGACAGATTGAAGGCAGGAGGGACAGGAAAACAATACATAACCAACCTAGTTGTCTTGGGTAGATAGATGTCAGAACAAAGTTTAGGAGGGATAACAAAAAATTTATTAAGAGCTACAAAGGACAGGAAATTGTGGAGAGCTATGATTGCAAATGTCCTGAAGTAATATGACATATAGAAGAAGAATATTTGGGACACTGCTAATGTGCAATGGAACAATTTCATTTTTGGAGAATAGCCTTGGTGTAGAATTGTTTTATATTTTTCAGTAAATTAATATCAAGGTATTGCATGTATCCTTTTCCATCCAATAAAAAAAAGAGTTAAAGTTAGCTTAAAAATTGGTTTCTCAATCTTAAAATGTATGTCGGATTAGTAGTTTAAATATTATAGGAAAACCAAATTGCTGTTTTAATTTATTCTAGAATTTATTTCTAAGGCAGTTGAACCATAAAACCTTAAGTATCTTTAAAGTATCTACCTACATTAATATATTTTTAAATCATTCCCAGCGGTACATATGAGGGATTGCTGAAAAGTTCTTAGTCATACCCACTTTCACAAAATTTAATCAAAAGGCAAAAAAGATTTTTTTTTATTAATTCTTTTTTAATTAAACTGAAAACTTTTCTACACCTTTCATAATGCGAGTTCAAATATCTTACTTTATGCAATAATTTTTACTTATTTGTTCCACATCTAAAATCAGAATAAAGTACTCAGAAAATATGCTGTAAATTTTATTACGAATATATTGCTTATTAATTTTTTAGTTAACTGTGTTTAGAATATAGAATCATATTTTGAATGTATTTGATGTTCTTTGTATTAATAGCTGTTTTCTTTTGATTTATAGGCATTTGAATGCTTCCTTAAGGGACTGAAGCCATCCCCTATAAAATGTTCAGATGGTTGTTGGTCATCAGAAGCTAATTCCCAATTTAAGAAAATGGTGTCAGAAAGGAACTTACATGCTGAGGTAAGGGACTTTATCAAGGCAATCTAGGATTTATTATGCTCCTTGTGTTTATATATACAGATGTGAGGGTGTCATTGGTTTATCAAGGCTTATAAATTTGAGAATGTTCATGAATGTTTGTCAGGTGTTTCAAAGGTACTGAAGCATGTGGGGAACACAAAGTGTCAGGATTCAAAGTCTGGCAAAAAGTAAAATGAACAAGTAATATTCAAAACTTTTTTTCTTTTTTTAATGAATATTGTTTGGCTTGTGATTAGATTGTTATGGTATGAGATGGACATATATGATGTACATCTTCAAAGGCTGAAGTGATGGATTTAACCATTTTCTTTTGATTTTTCAACATATTTTTTGTTGTATATGTTGGCTTGGGAAATTAGTAATTCTTTCAGGAAAAGTCAGATTGGGAAGAAACTGAGGCATTGATTTATATTTTGATAATGTTCTATGGTGGCACTCGAATTTTCCTTCTGAGTAAATTACTTTTCTTTTGATGCGTGTGGCATTTTTTAGATCAAAATTGTGGTCAAATTTATTTCTGTGCATGCACATCCACGAGTACATTTGTTAAATTGTTATGCATGAGTTCCCTTTTGTATTTGTAGATACATTTTTTTTAATTTCTGCATGTTTCCCCAATATATTGTGAGGAAATGTTTTGGCAATTTATTTTATATATGCCTGCTTTTCAATTATTATTGTTATGGGTGTTTTTATTTCTGATCATATCCATAATGGTTTTGAAAGTGGTTGTGACTATTTGGATGTTATTTAGATGGGATAAGTTGTTTTAGATAGTGGATGTTATGGAGTTGGTAGGTAGTGATCTGTATCTTTTTTTGTTTAGTTTATTATTGCGGATAATGTTGTTATTTTTGTTGTGGTTGTGTATTTTTTGCACCTTTCTCTTTGTGTTTTGGATGAAGTAATAAGGATATTGGAGGTTTTTGAATGTGTTTTCTATGTATGCTTCTTTTTTGGGGTACATATTGGCGGTTGCAAATTCTTAATGCTCTTAAGTAGAAACCTATAATTATACCAAATTGAATTTTATAGGAGTGGTTGGAGTAGAAGTTGACCAGGTCATTTTTGTTGGTAGCTTTCTGTAAACATCAAATTTCATTTTATCTCTTCTAGAGTCTATCTGAGTATATTCACACACACACATATATATATATATATATATATATATATATATATATACATACATACATACGCACACACAACCATTCAAATTTCTTAATACATTGGAACAAAACTGGCCATAACGTTGATTTTACTAGTGCCACCCTAATTAAAAAAGAACATAATTCTTTATGAAGAAAGTACATTGAGGACCTACTAATAACAATATTACCAACTATAAACACATGTCAAAAAACACATTACACCAGCAACCTTTATTGAATCTATTTTTAAAGAATTAAAGAGTAAAAATGTACCTGAATCAACAAGTGAAAAACCAACGATCATGATGTCTGCTAGATACACTCTTACGAATATACATTTTCATCTGAATCCCATGTAGACAAACTAGAATTATTGTACACTGGCCAGCTGACTCTAATGAATTTGCAGAACTGTCAATTCCCACCTTATGTCTGTGTTGGGAGTAATTGTATTTTTAGTCTAAAATCTTTTTATTTTTTCTTTGGAATAAGTAACTTCTCTATGCATGCACTCAGCCTAACGACTATGCCTCTGATACTAACTCAAATGGGAGTAAAGGGAGGCACATGAATCCCCAAGCAACCATCGTTACCCTCTCTTTTAGTCCTTGTATATGAGTGAGCTTGCCTTGGTAACCTAGGTCTTTGGCCGGTATGATTTTTCTGACCCAAGCAGGAGTTCTGTTACCATGGCTTCTAGGTAGATGAGACACATACACTTGGGGTATCATGCCTGAATCTTTCCTGGGTTATTTGTCCCCTCATTAAGGGTGCTGGAGGTAAACATTTTTGGGGTTTTGGTGTTATCCACCTGATAGTCAGAGATCTGAACCTTTAAATTTGAAGGAGACTATCCTATTTGCAGGTGTATAATATCAGGTTTATTGTACTACCATTTTGTGAATGATTCTGGACATTGCAGTAGTCTCTGGTGGGGGCCTCTTGATGCCATGATGATGGGTACTGTTACAGCAGTATCTCTGGGTGAGTCAATCCAGGTTATTTATGCATCATCTACAATGGGTGTCTGTTTCACTGCCTACTTGTCATCCACCAAACCAACCAAATCAAACATAAAAGCAATCAAATTGAAAATTATCAAAATTAGTAAACCCAACCTCAAAAAAAAGAAAAAAAAGAAAGTAGACCCCTGGTATACCATCTCTTACATCAATGTAAAGGGTCTACATTTCAACTTTCTAAAGTTCAAACTCAATCTTCTTCAGTCTAAACCTGACCTCCTGTTCCTGTCTGAAATGGATATCAATGCTTCAATCCCATTGCAGGAGCTCACAATCCCAGGCTGCTCATCTATTATAATGACCACCTAAATTGCCATGGTCAAAAACTCAGTACTTACATCAAGGCTGTATTTCCCTGTTTCAGGGACACAAAAACAAGGACCTTGATCACCTCTATATGTGCTCCTGCATGGCACTTATCCATAGTACCACATTTGTCTTTGCTCTGTATCATCTTCTGGATGAAGGGTTGGTAATCTTTGATCAAATATCAGAGAAGATTGACAATATCCTCACTGAATTTCCCTCAGCTTTCACATATGTGGTGACTTCAATGTTCACTACAAAGACTGGTTAGTTCATTCTAACAAAACAGAAAACAGATATTGCAAAGACTTTCCATCACCTATGAACTAACCCAGAACATTGAAGAACCCACAATTACAACAGGCAAACCTCCTCAACCTTTTTCTAGCATCCTGCCCTGACAAATGCTTGGCAAAAGTATTACTCACCATTGACACCTCAGGCAGCGTCCACATTGCCTCCAAACCAATGACATCCCCTGATTTACCGTTCCATAGAACGGTTTTTATCTAGGTGAAAGCAAACTGGGATAGCTTTGAGTCCTATATAACAGAAGCTCCTCTCTCAACCTTCTTCAAACAGGCTGCCTACAAAACTTCTGCCCTGGTCTCTTAAAATTAATTATTCAAAATAAATTTGATAGAAAAGTAAAAAATATTTTTCTGATGCTAAATATAAAAAATATCTTCCAAAAAATGTCCATTTAAAATAAAAAAAAAATGTTCAATTTTAGAAATTATATGTAACTTTTATGAACCCTCAGTAGTAGTTCAATTAAAAATATATCCATTTATTATTTTATTTTTTATAAAATGTATCAAGACTAATTAAAAATAACTTAAATGTTTAATTTAATCTGTGAAATTAGGAGCTAATCCTTAAAAATTAAATAGTTAATTAGTAAATATAAAATTTCAATGGACATTTTTAAAAATTACAATATTTTATGTACCCAATTGCGAGATTTATAAAAAAATAAATTATAAATACATGCAACTTTAGGATAAACATAAGAGATATAAGAAAATGATTTAAACACACCTAAAAACTGGGAAATGTCTATTGATGAAACAATTATGATCTTTTAAAAGCTCCAGAGCTTTTAAATCAGATGTTGGTCAAGGTAGCTGTCAAATTTTAAATTTCAAAAACACCTCCTTTTATATTTGCTTGCAATTCGAGTTGGTTGTATGTAGTGATATAAAACCAACTGATTATTAAAGATGACACATTGCTCTATGAGAAGGTGTAATTTTTGATATTTTAAGAAGTGAATTTCTCTGGTATTGCATCCAGTGAAGTTTTCAACTTGAAAATTTTTTGTGAAAATTGACCTCAAATTTTATTTTAATCCCACCAAATTAATAAGTGTCCTTTTTTCTTTAAGATGGGACTATTTTGGTATGTGTAGGAACACATAGCTCTGAGCGCAACAAGTTTCAAAACATGAACATAAAATTCTCAAATTTTAAAATATGGTAAAAGAAGCACCCATCACTGAAAAGTGACCTCATTTTAAGAGACCTAGAATAAAAACTAATTATCATACAACAGAAAGAATTGTATCTTTATAAAGAGAAAGCATTAAAGTTTTTTTTACATACTAATTTTATCAAAACAGCTTAAAAAATACTCTGGATATTGCCAGTTGAACTTGAAGGAAATTTCACTCTTTTGACCCATTTTCAAACCATAAACTAGGCCAGTTTGGGTACCTACTATTATAAAATCCTTCCTAACAGGATCATCCCTGAAGGTAGTTATTAACAGCCAGTCCTCCGAGACGCTGGCAATCAATGCAAATGATCCCAGGGATCACTTCGGACCAACCCTCTTTCTGATGTACATAAATAATCTACCTAAGAATATACTCTGATAATTTGTAAATATTATGCCAATGATACGACAATATATGGGTGTTCCTCAAAAACTCTTGACAAAGATTGCCAGCTGACCTCTTTTCCAGTCTAACACTAACTTCTCAGTGGGGGGAAGAATGCTGGTTACATTCAGTGCCTCTAAAACCAAATTTCTATATACAATCCATCGCTAAAGATGCAGCTAAAATGATCAGCTCCCTGTACCTGACTCCTCATGTTATCCTTTATCTTTATAAGAGCCAGATCAGGTTGCAAATGGAGTACTGTTGCCATATTTGGGTGGGAGTTGCTCAGACCTCACTCTCTAGCCTTGATAAAGTTCAAAAGCGTTTCTGACTCCTTGTTGGAGAAGAATTATTTTCCAACCTCCAACCCCTCTCTCACAGGTGGGATGTGCTGAGTCTGTTCTATCACTACTAGCATGGAAAGTGCTCAGATGAACTACATTCCTTGGTTCTACCAGGTCTAACCTTCACAGCTAGGACCTACCATACCAGTTACATAGTAGCAAACCATCCATATCCCATCAGCAAAAATCAAGTTCCACTCAGCTTCTTCCTGTGAACCACTTCACTATGGAATGGACTCTCAAGAGGATGTTTCTACAGCTTTAACCTGTTCAA